TATGTCTACCACCGAACTTGACAGTGAGGATCATTTCTCTTTTTGTCTTCAAACTTTCCTGTGGAATTTATGGCCAAAAACGTGTATTCTGTTCACATGATCATAAAATGCAGTTCCAATCAGAGTTCCAAAGTGCCCAAGGCCATAAAACACCTTAAATTTTCCCATTACCATCTGAAACTTAAAATGTGATTTTCCCTTACCTAAGACACTTACTTAAGGGTGTTGAACATAATCTCTCAAATGTTTCTCTTGACTAAGGGAAAACATGAGGGTTTACTACTGTGACTGAGGATCTGCTGTAGCAAAATTCAATTGCATCTATATTAGCATTCTCTCATTAACAGAATTTACTATTACTCGCTAACCTAGCTATTTACCAAAACTAACCTAAATCTTATGTGTATATATGTGTATATGTGTATATATGTGATACATATATTATCCCATACCCCATTGACATTTACCTGTTCCAATGGACTAAAATGTAAAATGTACATGGGAGGATACATCGAATACATATCACAGTTAATGCCTGGGGAGGTCATTGATTGTAAACAATTGTTTATAATTGAGAAAAGTGTACCTTCTTTTTTTCTTTCTTTAACACAACTTTCTCCCCAATTTAGTTGCAGCTGCATTTTATTCTTCCGAGTTACATGAAGCACCAATGCATCAAACTGCCACTAATGCATTTTCATTGGGCAGGTCAACACGCTTGGAGAACACTAACCACCAAATCAGTTACATTAGGTAAGGGATGCCTGCAGTTGTGATGCGGGAAAGCCATGGTCATCTTAACCATTCAGAGAGAACAAGGCCCAGATTCCTGACCACAGACTGCTGTGGCATTGCAGGAATCTAAATCATGATTTCCTGTTGATAAAAGTGAATTCCTGAAGCACATTCTTCGCATTTTTTAAAAGATCTTAGGGTTGCTGTATAAGAAGAGTTTTTAAAATGAGAAGAATCACAGTTTTTGACTTCCACTGGATGAATGGAACTAGATTGTGCTTTCAAGTAAATCAAAAGTACCTCTAAGGTATTAAGGTATTAACCTCTAAGGACCATTTTTGCATTTAACCCCTATGAGGCTCAATAACCAATGCACAATTGCACTAGTTCTTTTTCCATTGAAGAAGATAATCACAAATCTATGCAAATGTTTTAACACACCTGGTCAAATTATATATGTTAAAATATGTTAAGTGAAAATAAGTTCACACATCCTCTACAGGAAACAAATATTACATATTTCTCCCCCTGCCCTAAATATGTTAATTTCAGCAAATTAATTAACCGCTATGGTAAAATGCATAAACCTCACTAACCTCTGTTTGTTAGGTTTAGTGTAGCTAAAAGTCAGTCAGAAAGCTGAGTTGAACCTGCTTCATTAGACAGACCCCAGATCCACTACTGCTTGTCACCCAACTACCAGCCATAACAAACAGCATAACATTAACCACAAAAATCTAAATATGCCTTTATCTTTAAGCTTTAATCTTCTCTTTCTCTTTTCCATTTTTAGCTCCAGATGTGTACATACATTTTTTAAAGCATGATTAACCAGTAGCTTTTTCCCCCCTCACTCAAATGTTAGGCAACATAAAGGGGACAGCAGTAACCCAGAAGTTGTTAGGGGCCCCCTAGCAGCTGCAGGGCCCTAAGCAGCTGCTTATGTCGCTTATTAGGTACAGCCAGCACCGTTTCATACTCTACTGTATGTGAACAGAAAGACGGAAGACGAAGGTGTTAATGCAGCTAATAGGTTTCTTACAGCAAGCAGAGGGCTTGAACGGGCTTTCCTCATGTTTAAGCGAGGCATGACGCCACACACAGCAGCATCCTGCAGTTTCTCTTTTAACTTCAGCCAAACACAGTCCTCTGAGAGTCTTTAACCACGCGCTTTCTTTCTTGACTTCTCCAGAATATACAAGAATAACTGGTCTTGAGTAAACTGTTACAGGGCGTGTAAAGATCATTTCCAGCACATTCTGTTCTCAAGCAGAAGCATATTAGGCCATATCAGCCAATGTACTATATCTGGTATTTCCTAGCGTTCGTTTGGTACTGAATGTTTGGAGTGTATTCACTAGCAGGGTGGTAGAAGCCTGAATGATGTAATTTTTCAGTTGGGCATTGTCTTGAGTAATTGATGTTTGGTGAAGCAGTTATGTTCCTTTGAACAATTGCCTAAAAGGCTCCTCAGAGCACGCTGCCATGTATTTTGTGTTTGTCAATCCCCTTGTGCGTATGCAAGAGTCCCAGTTATGCTTTGATGGGATTTGTTTATATTGTAAAGCCTTTTTAAAATCAATCGCTCGGTTTTGCCAGCTAATTAATTCAATGTCACTGCGAAATAGGAATCCAAAACAAAAGACGTGTTTGCATTAGTTTAAAAGCGATATGGAAAATACTATTCTTCAAGGTTGTCACAACATTCAACCACATTAAGACACTGAAAATGTGTTGTGGGTTTGAGATCAGAGACGAACTGTAAATCAATAAGCAGTCATTGTTGTCACTAGTGCTTTTTGATGTCTTAGAAACCTCTGTCAGATTCTGGGGCAGAGCAGTTTGCCAAGTCATACAACAACAGACCACTACATTTTTTTCTAATTTAAACCAAAATGTTTAATAAGAGTGGCTATTTCTAAACTTTCAATACCTCGGCAGGCAATCAGTTGTTCAAGAAAATCATTTTTTAGTTGTGGGGATAACATTTTTCAAAATATGTTCTTACTCATAAACTGAGCTAGAAAAACTATGTCAATGTCAACCAAATTGGAAGGTATACCTGAGGACCTTACCTGAACAGTCTTATGTGGGCAACACAACCTCCCCCCACTGTAAACAATACATTCAGTGAAACACTTGATTTTTGGATGATCGGGGAAGAAGTTGCAGTTTGAAAACATATCCATCACAGTGACACGGTATACACTCCCCCAAACATTCCTCAAGCAGTCCAGGCCACACAAACCAAAACAAACCAAATTTTGAATGATTCTGTACTGCCATTGCAATCAAGTGAAATTTGTGTCCTCTAAACACTATTTGCTATTTGCTGACCTTGATCTGTCCTTGTAGATTATATATTGTTCAATTTAAACTGCTGCTACTGTATCTCAGCCAATGACTTTTGATTTCCTTTTACTGTAAAGTAGTAAGGCTTTTGTGATCTTGGTTGCTCTCCTGAATGGTAAAAAAAAAAAGCATTCAAGCTGTATTTAGGATATTTTTATTGTCTGTTATACTGAATTTAATAGTGATTACATTATTCATATATTGGTTTGGACTGAGTCAAGTTTAGACCAGCAACCTTGCTAGAAATTTGACTGACATGTAGTGAAAAGCAGTTCAGTTGGTTTTATTTGAGTCAAATATTATTTTTTATTCAAATAAGGCAAAGCCTATTTTTAGTTTAGATGAACAAAAGCAGTTATTGCCCTCAGTCTAAATCTCACAAAAACTTAAAATCAACATGTGCACTGTTACATTTTTACAGTGTAGGATTAATGTAATGCCAGGCCAATTAGGAATCTTTACAGATGTTGTTCCATCTACCATCAACCACTGCACATAAGGCCTTATCTGTATAAGGACGCACTGAAAAAGACCTCCCAATCTATAACGTGGTGCTCGGCTAGGCTTCGTTTAAGGCCTGGAATACACTGGAAGATGGAGGAAGATGCGTCCAAGCATGACACGTGGAGACGACTTTTTAATTTACCCCTAATCACAGCTCAAGTGTGGTGGCTAGAATTGAGCATGAGCCTGGCAATCACTCGCCCCAATTACCACTCGCTTATGGCTCATCCAGACTTTCATCTGCTCTCTGGGAACAAAGCTGTCTGGAGTCTACCAAGTTCCCAATACACTATACATTCAAGATCATCAAGAACATGTTGGCTAAGGCCTCAGGGTTTCCAAATGTTAAGGTCATGGAATTTAGAGCCATGCATTTATGATGGAAAGTCTGTATTTAGAAACTACCTTGATTTATATCGGAAATTAAATATTTGCAACTTCTCAATGCCCGGTTTAAAGGTCTCATTAGGTTGTATTCTCAAAAGTAATGCTGTGTCACAGCACAACGTTTTATTCTTCTGTTAGCTGATCCAGCAGCTCTTGGTGAGGTGCAACCAACTCACCAAGAATTTGTGACTAGACATAGTAAAGCCCATGCTTTACTGCTCTTATGATGAAAAACTGCACCCAAAAGCAAAGTAAAATGTATTAAAAGTGGGTTATTTTCAGAACCTTCAGAATATTTAAGACAGTGTAGACATGAGAAGCTAGGAAAATCGAGCAGAATAAGAATATGATCCTTGATATTACAAGGCAAACACTGTTTGATTTATCTTCATAGGAAAAAACTGGTGGTCTTCAGAGGTGGATGGTGTGCAAACTGGGTCAAGTCTAACGAAGCGGTAGTTATAAAACTGTAAAACAGCGCTCGACTGAAAGGCCATAATTTGTATCAAAACAAGACGCCAGCCATGTTCAACTCAGCACAGCGCAGCTACAGATGTCGAGCTAGAATCATGGACTTAATTACTGTTGACGCAATTGGGAAATATAAATCCGTCGGCCTAAGGGGTCCGGGTCGAGCGCTAGTGCAAGCGTTCTGCAGGGAGCAACACTTCCTGAGGGAAACTCTGTTGTGCTCTTCTCAAAGGGACAATAAAGCCAAGTGATCAACATGGCTGCCAGGGGCCAAATGCAGATACTTACTGTGAGATCAGAATGAACACCAGCCAAGGCCTGTTAAATGTCTTTTGTTCTGTTATAGCTCTGTGGGTTGACATAAAAAAAAACTGTCAAAAGGAGAAGAGGAAAAAAAAATAGATGATGAAAAGATGTGTGGGACGCTGCTTGTGAGAGTGTGATAACTGCAGCTTTAATTCTACAAAATAAATTTTAAAAAAATCAAGGCACTGCAGTGACCTAGTTTTACCATCATCATAACACTGAGAGAATACACTGAAACTCAAGTGTAATGATGTTCAATCCCTTTATTACTGTTACTGTCTTCACAATGCCATTGAGGAGATGAAAATCAAGTATAATTCTTCAAACGCTTTATTATCATTTTCTCCTTCATCAGTGCCATTAGAAAGGTGTCACAGGCTCAGTCCTGGTTAAGTTCACCAAGTCTTGGCCATATTCTTCTGGCAGGCTGGAGCTATGGACAGATGGCTCAGAAACGTTTATTTGATGCCACTGTTGTTCATGGTCTGAGCTTTGCAAACTCCTTTTCCGGCAACCTCAAAGGCAGCTCCCTTGTAGGTGGCCACACACTGGTTGTCGGTGCGCAGGTCAGGCTGCACCTGCTCCCACACTTTCTTCTTGGGGTTTAGCTCCTTGTCAGGCTCACCTGAATCAAACAGCACAAAGACACAAGCATGATCCTCTTAGAACAATAACACATCAGGTTAAAGTTGCACTCTGGCCAAAACATGCCTTACATTTTAACAGGTGCGGTAGTCTCTAGAATGGCATTATGCAGTTTGGATAGCATGTTTTTGTTAGCCTCTAGATCAGCCGCTAGACTAGCAGTCATTTACTGAATGTTATAGGGATTCCCAATGGTTGTATGATGTATTTATGTAATGCATCTAGATTATTCATACAAAAATAAAAAACAAAAACAATATAAAATTGTGAATTCTGTCAAACCGATGCTGCTCTACAGAACTACATGTGACAAAAACATGAACTCTTCTTTGAAGCACTGGTGTAGGACTGTGGTGAAGTAAAAATAAAAGTCACACTGAAATAAATAATTAAATAACAGAAGACACTTTTTCGCTTGTTACCCAACTTCAATCGCAACAATTAGAGTGCTAACAATTAGCAAGGCACTCGCTGTTTTGATGGGTAGCTTAGGCATGCTTTTCAATTCGTAACACACCACTAGGCACCAGTAAGTGGTGACAGAACACATAGTAAATTCCATTTTCAACAAGTTCAGCATGAAGCCAATGTCAAAATATCACCAAAGCATAACATCATGAAGATAATGCAGCTAGCTTGTTTTTTTTTTTTACACCTTTTGAATGCCAGCTACTCCTTTTCATTGTGTGAACAAATGGACCAATAGAAATACTGAAAAGCAACTTTTTACATTAAAAGATTAAAGAGATGCAAAGCTAAGAACATTTTTCCCCTCCTAAAAGGACAAGATTTTTAGCTGTGGCAATATACAGGGCGATTCAAAAAGATTCATCCGATTTCAAAATGATTTATTTCACTTGTAAATCATTACAGAACAATGCAGTAAACTGTAAATGGTTTAAATAAGCATAAAGTTTATTATGTAATTTTACAAGTGCTCAATATGGACCTCCTCCAGCTGTACATCATCATCACGATAGTCAAATTCATCCCATACTCGATTGAGCATGTCAGGTGTCACTGTGCTCACGGGTCTTTCAGTGTGATTTCGGACATCATCCAGTGTTGTTGGGAGTGGTGGCACATAAACAGAATCCTTAATGTACCCCCACAAAAAAAGTCACACTGCGTGAGATCTAGTGATGCGGGTGACCTTTTTCTTGGAACTGTTGGTACCAACGATGAATGTTCTGAGCTGTTGAAGGTTCACTGCCATACTGACAGTCAGAAACTCTATGACCCCCTCTTTCAGTTGGTATGTGATTGGTTCCTAGGCGCCTCACGGTTGTAAAAATATGGCACTTTGAAATCGGATTAATCTTTTTGAATCACCCTGTACTTAGAAATGCCGAACTTATGAGCATGTGACTAGAATGTTCTCAAATGACCTGAAGAAGATCCTTTTAGGACTGAAAACATTCTCACACTAAACTCAGTGTGGAAACCATTGAGTGCACATGTAACTCTTTTTGTATTCAGCACAATGTCTTCTGAATCTGTATCCCTAATCTTATGGATAAGCCCTGGCTTTTGTTCCCTTCCAAAATTCTGCCATGATGCCTCGTAAAAGGAGAGAACAAGGAAGAAACAAAGAACGAGACAAACACTGGTGTCCATTACTCTTCACAGTAAACATCCTGTTGACGGGGCCGGCTCTCACTGTCGACTTGTTTAACGACTCTGCGGTCCAAGGAGCAGATGGAGAGAGGTGGCGAGGACTGCTTGCCCTGCCTCGCCTTTGTCCGACCTGAGCGCCGATTCCATCCCAGTCGTAAAACGGGTTTTGTTTTTGGCTGGCTCAGGATACCCAATAAAAGCAGCAGCTGGAGGAAGAGCCAGGAGGGGGAAAAGCAGGGAGATGAAAGCCTTACTGATGTGACAGGGGCCTGGTGAAGGCCATGGGATGAAGTCCTGCTCCAGACCCAGCCAACTCCCTGGGAAGCTCCCTGTTTAGCTATTGTGCATTTAATCAACCACCCGCACCGCTTCCCAATATTACTCTCTCTCCAGTTCCGGCATGTTTTATAGACCAAAAGAGAAATCACAACCACACTGTTGTTAGTTCTCTTTGAGCTTCTTGACCTTACTTTGATATTTTTTTTGAAAACTGTTTGAGGAAAGCAGCGTGACTATGCTGACAAAGGTGGAGTGTTCTTTTCTGCGCCAAGACCAAGACCAATTTCAAAGGCACTCCTTGCCTGGTCTATGTAGTTTTAACAATAAAACTATTTTTTTATATGTTGACTTAGTCTGAAAAGCAAAGTGACTATTTGCTGTGCTAGTCTAGCCACCTTCCTCCCTCGGGCTGTGTTTGGAATAAAAGAAAACTATCCTATCTCCCTGATTAGGATGCTGCCAAATTAGCAGCCACAGACCATTTAGCCTATCAATAAACAAAGCACAGGAATTCTGCCATTGAAGTAGTCTTAAGTGAATGGAATGAATAGGGGACTCCCACACTTTGTTTGCGCAGTGGATTAGTCATTTATGGTATACTGATGAGATTTCAGTGAGGGATGTGGGAGAGAGAAAGCCATTATGCCTTCTGCACCTTCTTCTGCCTTTGCCTCCATCACAGCACCATAATTGTTCAGATTCTGTCTGTTTACTCATGAAGTCAACACAATGACCTTTTCATGTAATGATTTTGGACATCACTGGTCACTAATTGACTTTGTGGAATAATTACTGCAGCCCTACTGTACATGGTAGAAGTCATATGTGGAGGCATATGTGTAGTGCTGTGCGTTGGTGTTTTACCTGGAAAGCCTTGGAAGGTGACTCTGTCCCCTGGCACTGCCCCGTTCGGTGGATCCAGGATTTCCACCTTGTCTGGAGAGCTGGCACACATGACCATGGCCTGGGACAACACCCCCCTCATCTTAGCTGGCTTCAGGTTACACAGCAGCACCGCCATGCGATTTTGCATCTGTCAGCACAATACTGACAGAGTTATTAAATTTTATAAACAGAACATTGGAACATTTACACACGACACGAATATTTCAAATAAATAAATAAATAAATAAATAAATCTCCCCATTAAGCAAAAAAAGCTGGAAAAAATAACAGCGGCCTGAAAGCAGAACTCAGAATTATGTTTCCTTATGAAATGTTCAAAGGATTGAACCATGGAAAGAATAAGACTCAAGGCACAAACTTAATCAAGTGCATGAAAAATAAAATTGATGCACTAGCCCTTAAAACATCTTTACAAGTAGAATCTCCCTAAGTACGCTATATTTAGGACATTTCATTTGCATCAGAAGGCACAGGCTGGTCACAATGGAAGCATATCACGTATGCCGACCAAACTAAATGCCTCAGTGCCATCAGTATTTTTGATTTCGTTCTTAGTCAAAGGTCAATAATGCGAGTTAGTTCTTACAAAAATTAAGCTTTAAATGGTACCTGAAATCTCCCTTCTGCTTTTCTGAAACATACTTTAAAGCTAATGAATCTTCTAGATAAATGGTCCGACGTTTCAACTCTGTCCAAGCTAAAGCTAACACACTTCAGTCAAATTATGATTGCAAAATTACTGCTTTTTATGGACACAGAAAACAGCAGTTCTAAGCTGACCTCTAATTCAGACTGCACTGTCCAAGAATGGACGATTCTTTTAATCACATGCAAGTAGTTCATTATGGCATCAAGAAGCATTTTAAACCATGGTATTCATCCACAGGGTTCAGTTACTCAACAGCATACTAAGGTTAAGACTGTCTTAGAAATTAGAGAGAGCACTCAAAGTAATACCAGCTCTCCCATTTTATAATAATGCTTGTGCCACAGCCCTTTTGGGAAACTCAGCCCTGATGTTTGGAGAAGAAATGGACATAATAGACTAACAGACCACATTGAGATAAGGCATAAGATAAGGGTAACATTAAACCTGTTAGCTAACAACAAAGTCAACGTTTATCCATTATCTTTACATTGTGAAATATAAAATACTTAAATAGCATTTTCTGTTATACTCATAATAGCCTATAGCATTTAAACTACAACTTAAATTATGGTAAAGTTATGCTAACTAAACACTAAGCACGATATGAACAAGTCTGGCTTATAGAAGTGTCATGTTGGAAAATGTCTGAGCAAAGCTCTCCATATAGACTAGAACTCTGTTCTCAAATACATAACATTACAACAGAACTTTGAATAAACTGAGAGGAAAAGCTAAAGAGTTTAGACGCATAAAGCAGATGGATTTTTATGGGTGTAATTAAGATTAGTCAGACTGCTAGTCCGTTAAACAAATCATAAACTAGAGGCAAACCGAAACACAAACACGTTTACTGAGAGCTTTGTGGAATAAGAGCAGACTGAACCATGACAAAAGTATAGACCACGGTGGCAGAGAGGATTTATTAGGACTAATAAAACTGAAATATCCCCCCTCGAACCACTCCAGCGTTTAGCACCCAAAGTTCCAGCATCAAAACACAGCATTCATTTTTCCGAAAAACAAACAACTCCTGTAGTGATGATGTATTGCAGCGCTCAGAGATTTCACGACTTTCTCCAAAGTAAACATCTGCAAATTAAACGATCTTGAGTCACTGCTTCGCATAGGGGGAAAAAAAGGACTTGATTAGAGTTAAACTTCGCAGACCCTTCTTTTCAAAGCGATTTGAGAGGGAGGTTGCGTGATCATCAGAGTTCAGCCAGACAGAAAAGCAATGAGGCAGCTAAGCATGGCCCTATGAGGAACATAACAGTGTTCAACTGGGTGTATAACTCCTAAATCAACAAGTGCCTACCTACGCGGGCATGGTTCTACTTTTTTGTTGCCGAGAGAGATATACTGTAATGTACACTGCCTAATCAGACTAATCAGGTTTATTTTGAAGAAAACAATATTACACATGTAAATATCTGAAACAGTATAAGTTACAGTGCTAATACCAAAGCCCATTGTATCTACTTCTTGTGCTTGTGTCAGCACTCATCAGCACTCAAACCTTTGAAAGGTATTCAAACTACCTTTGGACCAAAAGAGTTTCAATGTGATTTTAACAATAGTTTGGACAAGAAAATGGTTCAAACTTTCTCTTCATACCAAGGAAGATACTTTGATGAACAAGTTAAGAGTTGAAGCTAAATATACTCAAAGGAATAGCACATAGCTGCTTTACAATAACAACAACTTTGCAGCTATTTTTCATACTTAATTCAAATGTACAGCGAAAACATTCAAAGTAGGGCAAGCTTCTGACAGTGGACACACTAGAACCCATGTGTCAAATAAAAGGCCCGCGAGCCAGAACAGGCCCAAGACACAATCCTATCCGGCCTGCAAAAGCGTTTTAATTTACTATTAATATTAGCCTGTTTCACAATGTGCTGCACTACAGTCCCCCAGCATGCACTGCAACATAAAGTGCACTCTGACTCTCCTACCCCAACAGCAGTCTATGGGACAGTGGTTACACCTCAATTCTACACAACTCTACGCAATCCCACACCAGTCATATAGCTGCATTTCAGTTGCAGTTCAACAATTAATGTAGCAAAGAAAGGATGCCAGGTGTCTAGTTCAAGCAAATAGGTATGGTTATAATGACAGAGCTCCTGGAGACATTTAAATTTTGAATATTACAAGTATTCATGTAATATTTCAAGGTCTACTACAAGTGCCCATATTTCACTAATGAAGTTTTTGCGTATTTTGAATAAACAATGGCCAGTTCGGTTTGTAACACAACATTAATTAAAAATGAAATAAAAACATTTTTTTTCTCTGGCCCACGGATTTGTTGAGATTTTTTAATACGGACCCTTTAGTGACTGAGTTTGACTTCCCTGCACTAGAAAATCAGCTTCATGTTTAAAAATGTGTCATTAAGTCTTGCCGTCCATTCTTGCCTACAGCAAATGACCCCATGTGAACTTCACCAATGATTCTTTGAAACACTGTTAAAAAGATGTTCTTATGCCATGTTGGTGCTGGGTCAGTAGGAGGTCAGTACCTGCTCTAGGGGGACGTGTTTGACCAGACCACTGACCACGGTGCGTGGTGCTGGTTCACCCACATCCACCTGCTCCACGTACAAGGAGTCGGCGTCTGGGTGTTTCTCAGCTGAGATGATGCGTCCAACCCGCAAGTCCAGCCGGGAAACGTCCACCTTGGCCTCTTCCTGAGGGGGAGCAGGAGCCTTCTTCTCCTGCTTCTCTCCTAGAACCAGAGAGGGACAGGCTGCTTCAAACACTGAACAGTTTTAAGGCCCAATGCTAATGTGGCTAACAATAAATCAAAGCTGAGAACGATGCATAATATGCTAGCCTGGCCCTAGATACCTTTAATAGGGCTGAATGCTATTGGGCCATGAAAGAGTTTAGGTTTTTGTAATAAATATCAGCAAATTAACAAATTATCACTCTAGACATTGTCAGGATACATTTACAGGTGGGATTAAGGGAGGTATTTTGGTTTGGGCTGCACAATACGGACAAAATACCGTATTACAGTGATACTGCTACATTTTGCGGTTGTAGCATAAATTCCAATGTACTGAAAATTACATCAGAACCGTTGATGTGAGTAAATACTAACCTGCGTCGATTTTGACCAAAATGTTTTGCTTGTTGGATGAGTGACTGGTCAGAATGCTCACAGCAAACATTAAAACAGGAGTGTCCAATCTTATACGCAAAGGACTGGTGTGGCTGCAGGTTTTCATTGCAACAAAGCAGATCACATGATTAATTGTCTGACAAATTCAAACAAATTACTATTACTATATTATATTATCAGTATTGCAAAGGCTGATATCATGATAATGAATAGAGAACAATGTATTGTGCAGCCCCAGCTTTTATTCATTATTTTTGCTTTCTTTTTGAGAAAAGTGCATCTTTAACTCTCAGCAGAACGAGATATTTTATTATGATTGTATTATTTTATTTAGGTAGACTATGATGAAATGATGTGTGTACAGTATTCTGCAGAAAGAAAAAACATCCTTTACATTTTTATTTTACAAACGGAAAAGAGTCAGAAATGCAGACTTATTATAAACTGATTATGAATGTACATATAAATCATGAGGCAACTCTGCAGGTCTTAATGTAATTACATGTAAATAACTACCCAGAACAGCAAAAAAAAAGAATATCAAGAGACTAAGTAAGCTTAGAAGTCTAAAATTTAATAACAAACAATTTCTCATATCAGTAATAAGAGTAGGTGATCAAAATAAAGTTTAGTTATTGATAATTATTCATATCTTCCATGAACACTAATCAGACCATCTATCCTACAAATACTGCCTTTAGAACCAAATTGGGCACATGGAAGTGTAGTGAAAGCTGATAAACTTCATGCCAACTTTACCATCAGTAACAAACTGTTCCGTCATTCCATCCTAAAACTTTACAACAGTACTCAATCGGGAGAACTGGGCTTTTATTTTAAAGAATTTAACACAACTTTAAGGGCCTTATTTTTAGTAGCTAACACATTCCACACTTTGCACATGGAAACTATGCAGACCCTGTCTTCTCTGTTCTGATCCCAGCTTGTCCCACCCCCAGAGTGAAAGCAAATCTACCAATAACAGCCACTGCATGGCATTTCACTCTAATCACTCCAAGCGCTCCAAAAAAAGTACATTACTTTTCCACCGGCTCCAGACACTCATGTTGGGAGCGTAGCTAAAAAAAAGCTGCCTTTAAGTCTTCGATCCCCTTTACAGTCTTGAAAATGTTAACTTTAAGTATATGACTAAAAGCAGGAAAGCGATTTACAGCTGAGAAAGACCTTTTTCAGCAAAAGCAGTACTACAGTAAAAGCAAAACAGCAATTTTTTGTAGCATCTATCCTTTATAAAATAAAAAAAAGTACAATCTATTTACCTTTTTACCCAGCTTTTCTGATTTCCTTCTGTTGCATTTGTCTGTAATTTAATTCATTAAATGTAAAATAGACTTTTTTGCAGAATTTATCAGTTATTAGAATAAAAGATGTTTTTGCTGTTCCCCCATAACTTTCGGCTTTTTGTCTGTATTTTGTTCTGTAATTACATTCTCTCTACCAAGGATCTGTACTGGTCTGTACTGTTGATGGCTGACAGATCTGTCAGAGATAATGCGGCTCATGTGGCAAGTGATGGGTGCATGCCACGTTTCAAAATCACTAAAACATCATATTCATCAGTGCCGACGGAATAGAGGCACATTCGATATTTATAGCACGGTGTTTAACATCTGGAGCCGTGGAATGCTAGCTTCACAAACACACTCTCACACATACATTACACACACCATCTACCAGGTCATTTTTCTTCTTAGCCCTAAATAACATTTCAGATTGTCTGAGATCTGCTTTGGAGAGGGTCACTTGAACAGATGGGACTGGAAGAATCTGTGAAAGAATCTGTGTGATTTATGCTGAGAATAATTTTCATAATAAACAGCCCTGCACAGAAATCTGCTGATTGATTTTGACAGTTCTGTTAGAAAGTGCAGTTTAACAATGAGAAAATCAACACCATCTTGAGTGCATGGCTATCTGCGAAAATGGTCTCTGGCTTGGGTTTTGTTTGAGACCCCATGCTGAGAAGCGTCAACATGACACAAACCATCAGCTGAAATTTGCTTGCGGTCTCAGCTTTTGTCATCACCTCTGGACCACGCTGCCATCCCTCTGTGATGATTTAATTGTGTTGATTGATGTGCATGCATTTTTTAGCCAAATATAGCACCAACACAACAAGTGCAACAAATAGAAAACTGGCCAAGACAGTGAAGTCCACATTTCACAGCAATGAACAACAGGATGGTAATTTTAGAAGATGCATTAAAAACTTGCTTTGTAAGTAAACATTGTAACAAGGTATTACACAATAGGACTGTCAGATGGGATCAGAAATCAAATTCCAATTTCTATTTGTTTGCAAAATATTCAAATTTTAATATATAACAAAACCGCCAGATTTCAATGTTAAAAAAAATTAGTGTTATGTCTTCTAAATCCACAAGGGGGCACTCAGTATAAATTCTCAAGCTTCCCCTTAACACAGAGTGTTTAAACCAGTGATTTTTCCACCCTGGAGGGAGGTGGTCACTTGTGAGATGACTGTCAAAAATGGTACATAGGCCTTGGCCTGTCACAATTATTACATAACATCCTGACTGCAATTAGTTGAGCTAATCATAATTATTTAAGCTGATCGCAAAAACAGATTGTTTTTATGCACTGAATTGAGACAAACGCATGCAATGAAAGAAAGTAAGATACGCATTTATTAAGACATGTCATGGGTCTTACGAAAACAACAAAAGTTCTCACTTCTTCTGAGTTGTGCTAAAACAACTTTAGAGGGCAGCAGAGTAATGTTTGTTTATTTGAGCTTGAGCTATTTCTGTCACCAGAAATATCGACAGCTGGAAAGCAAGCATCTGCATTTGGAGCGCTTGCTTCTCAGAAAAAAAGTCTGCTGTCTGAAGAAGATCTTTTGTTTACCTCGCACAAGATCATATTTCTGCCCACCAGTGTTATTCAGCTTAGAAAGAAAACATTGCCTTGTTCAGAATGACTTGTTGCTAAAAAATAGTTGTCAGATGTTTGTGAATATGCCAGTACAACAAGCACGACAAACAGAGAGATTGGCCAAGACAGTAAAGCCACAGCAAAAAAAAACAAAAACGGATGGTTATTTTTATAAAACGCTTCCAAAACATGCTTTTCTAAGTAAACATTGTAAAAACCTATTGAACAATAGGACTGTCAGATGGGATCAGAAATCAAATTCCAATTTGTTTGTTTGTGAAATATTTAAATTTTATATACATAATCTCAAACAATAAATAAATAAAATGAAAACATTATTTGGCAAAAAAGTATGAACTGCAGTGAAAGCCCCATTTCAATGATATGTCTCCTAAATCCACAAGGGGGCGCTCAGCATAAATTCTCAATCGTCCCTAAATTTTTAAACCAGTGAATCTCAACCTGGGGGGGGGGTCACGGCTCATGAGGTGGTTTTCAAAAACGGTACACAGGTCTCGGCCTGTCACCATTATTACATCCTGATTACAATTAGTTGGTATTCAGTTATTGTAGCTGACTGCAAACATTCTAATTAAAGCCAAAATGAATCATTGTTTATGTTCAGCAACGTTCTTCCCTCTGTTTGATAGTCATCGTGTGTGACAATGTTATTTGGAAATCGGCCCAGAACACATTGGGAGCTGCAGTAGAGGTAGCTTTAAACATTCGAATGGACATTTTCTACGTTTGAATGAGCATGTTTATCATTAAATTTGACAAATGTTAGAATGCAGAATTTTCTCCTACTGTGTGGGATTTATAACACTGACAAACATCAAAATAGTAAAAATGTCTCTGAATCACACTGAACCACAACTTCCAAATTTATCAGAGTGGATACATACTGTTTCAGAAACAGCTCTCACCTTTTTTCTCTGCTTTAACTTTCTTCTTGGCCTCGTTGTTGCTGGCTGGGGGGCTTTTAGCAGTGGGTGCAGGAGCAGCAGCAGATGCAGGCGCTGATGGCTCTGGCACCGAAGGCTTGGAGACACACTGGATGCTGGAGTCGGCTGAGGGCATGGCCACTTCTCTCACTGCACACGCACACACAAATATGGCTTAGTTCAGTCTCACATCGCTTGGCTTTCCAAAATGTTTGTTGGAAAATGGTACTGCGGAATGAGAGACTACTTTGCACAGTCTTTCCACTATATAACGATAACTGCTTTGGTCCCAAATCACATTATTGTACATACAAACCCAATTCCAAAAAAGTTGGGACTGTATGGGAAATGCCAATAAGAACAGAAAGTAGTGACTAGGAAATTTTATTTGACCTGTGTTATACCTAAAACAAAACTGATATTTTATATTATAAACTTTATTTATTTATTTTTTAAAAAAATAACATATGCTCATTCCACATATGATGCCTCCAACACGTTCTAAGAAATGTGCGACAGGAACATGTTTACCACTGTGTTACATCACCTTTACCTTTAACAGCTCGTAATATACACTGGGGACTGAAGAAAGTCAATGATCTAGGTTTTTTTTTAGTCTTTAGAAGGATCTTGCACTTTATAATGTTTTCCAAAGGAAAGATGCAACCCACTGTAGCTCCCACACTCTCTGTTTACAAAGCCATGCTGTTGTAAGACATGCACAATGTTTATTGGCATTGCCATGCTGGAATAAGCATGGGCATCCCTGAAAAAGACAGCATCTAAAAGGCAGCATACGTTGCTCCAAAAGTTTTTCAGCTTTAATGGTGCCTTCACAGATGTGCAAGTTACCCATGCCATGTACTAATACGTCCCCCTTACCACAACAGACCCTGGCTTTTGAACGTTATGCTGGTAACAATCTGGATGGTACTTCACTTCTTTGGTTTACTTCTAAACAGTCTGAAGGGTTGACTCTTCAAATACACGTTTACATTGTGCATCAGTCTATTTTAGATGAGCTCAAGCCGAGAGAAGTCATCATCGTTTCTCCATGTTTTATAGATTGGCTTCCACGGTACACAACATGGTCTTAACTTGTTTTTGTGAACAGGTGCGTAGAGACACAAAGTAGCACAGAAGCATGCTGGTTTTAATGCAGTGCCACCTGAGAAATTAAAGGTCACATGCATTCAGTTTTTGGCCTTGTTCAAATTTCCTGAATCTTTGTGATAATATCATGCACCATAGAGGGTGAAATACCTCAATTCCTTGCAGTCGCTTAGTGAGGAATGTTCTTTAACAGCTGGACTAGTTGCTTATGTATTTTTTGGCAAGCCTCAACATAATATATAACTTGCTCATAAAGGTCTAGGCCTTTCTTAGATGCTCACTTTATACCCAAGCATGATTATGTCACCTCTTTTAAAATATTTTCTGAACATTTAATAACATTCCTAGTCTTAAACTGCTCAAATCCCAACTTTTCTGGCAGAAATTTCAGAATGAGCATATATTCACAAAAAACAATGAAGTTAATGAGATAAAACAACAAATATTGTATCGTTGTACTTTTTAAAGACAGGTCAAAGTAGATTTACACATCACAGCTTTCTTTTGCATTTCACCTACTGTCCCGACCTTTTTGGAATTGGGTTTGTAGAAAGATTTCAAGTAAGCCTACTCAGCTGGAATCAAGCTTGCTTACATATGTTTTTGGCAGTTTTTCGTTGTTTCTATCTAACTGGAATTTCAATGCATAGCATAGAGCCCTTAAAACAAAGCACATTAAATCCATTCTTGACCTGTAAGTGGAGGACATTGGGAAAGTATGTTAAACACATGCAACTTCTGGATTTTAGTCACAGACCATACTTAATTATTTCACTAAACTACAGTTACTAAACCCTAAACCCTACATCGGGTCCAGTGCCAACGCTTGGGTGAAGAATTATGGAAATATGACTTGACTTGAGTATGACTTGTTATACGCTTAATGGAATTCAGCAGCATAACTCAGCTAAAAGACACAGAGAGAGACTATTTACATACTCAGAGGGAGGACTGGCCCCCAATCCAAACAATTTTAATGGTACAAGGCTATGGGGCCCATGCAGACAGAGGAAAAAAGGGAGGAAAATAATCCCTTCAACCGAGACAGATAGGGCAAACCAAGAGAGTCCACTGTTGTGCAACAGTCTGATTGCGCTGCATGGGTCAAGACTTGCTGAGAATGCTAAACACTGCTGATGTGGGGCAGGCTGTATTCTTTTTTAATTACCATAATTCCATGTTTATTTAAGTAAACTATAGGCTTGTGCTTCCAGTATGTGTTAGCTGAGTGTTTGCTGGCTGAAATTTGAACCAGGCTCAGCTTGAGGGACTGTACAGTGACTCAGCTCGCCTGCCTTCTTAGAAATGAAAGGAAAAAAAGAGCGCTGAGCAACGCCTGATCAGGAGCCTTTTAAAATTTCCACTTGATCTCTGATTAGGCTCTTATGCTCCCATTAAATGATGGAAAGAGATATAAAACAAACACCATAATAGGACAAATGGAAAAGCATAATCCTACATTATTTAGACGTGCTCTGCAAGCCGTCCAAAAATAACAGGGACCAGTGGAGCTTTTTAAAGAAAGCTAAATTGCCTATTTGTTCTAATCCTGCACATTTCCCACCTCGACACTCTGGAAAACATTACTTAAGTGCTAATGATGGGATGGCTGCTCTTACTTGTACGTTAATGCATGGCAGAGGCCTAGAATCCCAGCGGTTCTGCATGGCAGTCACACAGCTCCATTAATCAGATCAGTTTAGGGATTTCTCCTGGGCCAGAATTGCAACAGCATTTCAGAGTAGGGTGCACCTAACAATTACTTGTAAAATGATTTAACCTAATGACTATTATTTGATTACTCAACTAATCTAACTATAATTCCTTCAGTATCTCCTCTAGCATTCTCTCGGAGCGGTAAGCGATTTCTTTGTTTAAGCTGCCTTGAAACAATACATATAATCGCCTCCTATGCTTTGTGTAGTGGACTGCAATCTGCCGGAATGATCACCATAAACATTATTAAGTAAATGATGGGTCAACAAGAAAATTCAGCGTTAAGCCTTTTTTCATGTCTGGGGTTTCCAACCTTTTATCTATTTATCATTAGAAAGGATGAAAGCCCACAATGGGGGAAAACCTTTGTTGCTTAAAAAAATTACATTTCTCAAGTGCGGACACAGACAACCTGAGAATTATAAGATGAACAACAGCCTAAAGATCAGATCATTAATTTCAATCCAATCACAGTAAACAAAAAAAATATATATATATATTACAAAAGAGAAAACAAATTTCTTTTGTGTATGTATAGCTTTGGGGCTAACTTTTTGTCCAGTGTCAAGGAGGCAAGGTCCAGTCAAGACAGAGACCAGAGAAGCTGATGTGTAGTAAATTTGACATGATATGTAATAATAATATAAATAATACTATTAATAATTTTTTCCAGACGTTCATGAGCGCACGAGTAAAATGTCGAGAAGGTAAAGAAAACTGACAAAGCGCTGCTGTTGCACATCTTGTGTTAATAATGTTTCACTTTTTAAAAATATTTTATATTTTCTAATTATTACTTTTTTTTTTTTCCACTTATTTTTATGACAAAGTGCCATTACTGGTCAACTAAGGACCACCGGCACCACCTCAGAAGCCCAAAGATTACCAGAGGATTCCCAATGGTTGAGAAACCCTGATCTGTGTCACTGGCTTTGTCAAATACTTTATGAAGACTAGACACAAAAGCCGCCTGTATATCAGAGATCTGACTCTGAATGAGATGTCTAGATGCACAGCAGTATTACTGGACACATTCATCTCCAGCCTGTTGACATTTGATGTTAATGAGAGATGGTCATTTGGCTTACTGGAGCAAAGAAACAAAGATTCCCCAAAAAAATCTATCCTATATTAATCTAGGCATTGGTTGCAGATTTGGAGAGCTCTCTGGTGGCAATGTGCAACTGCAAGTAACATTTTTGTAACATCAATTTGTGAGGTCACTCACCAAAGTGGAACGCGGTGTTAAGAGTCTACTCCAAGGACACCACATTTTAGCTTAATGTTTACTGTTCTAATTCAGAAATGCTGCTTCTTATATTTTTAACGAAACAATTATAACAGTTGCAGCCTTAATGTTATATTCTGGGTGCAATTTCAATGGACATAAATGGACAGCTACAGTAAAGGTCCTGGGTCACGTCTACCTCCTCTCCTTCTTTCCTTCTCAAGGAGTTGTCTCCTCAGATCCTCAATGTCCTTCTTCAGCTTGGCATTCTCCACCATCAGCTTCTTCTCTTCTCTGACAGTGGCCTGCACAACTTCATGCAAGAAAAATTCTTTCGTTAGACCTCAGTGACAGCAAGAGGAACACGTGCATGTGAATTGCACCTTAAGCGGCGGCTGTGATCTAGCCCTGATGTAACCCTCAGCCTTGGCGGTGTGTTAGCATATGGCTCAGACAGCCAAACCCCCCCCCTCCCCTTCCAACTCACTGGCTTTCTCCTTCAGCAGCTGGACCTGCTGCTTGAGGTACTCAATGATCTGGTCAGCCTCTGCTGCCCTCTGTTCCAGTCTCGCAAGTGTGGGTGTGTGGCCTGACATCTTGAAGAAGGAGCGTGCCAAGAACCTGAAAAACAAGCCAACAGCAAAGATCAAACTCAGCGGAAACTCTTAGTCACTTGTAAAGACGTCTCTAAAAGCAAACTCAATAGACCTTGGTAGACACTCTATCCGTGTTTGGGAATATGTAGTGATTCAAGCATAGAGAATCTGTGATGCAAATCTGTTGTGTTTTGGCAAAGATAAAACTGCTCTCCAACTTGACATTTGGACTCAAATTTGCCAAGCTCATTGTTTTGTCCACATCACCTATGCCATGAAGAGGCTTTCAAATGAAATGACCTGCGCTCTGCAGCTGTCCAAACACTGAATCAGCTCCTCTCCAAATAACACATACACACATCTTAAATCTCCAAGGACAACCTTTCATTGTTAAAGGCTAAGTATAGATGATTAAAGCAGCCAGTCCCATTTATATTCACACTTCTAGGCCTGAGAAATGAAGGTTTTGAACATTAGCTGCCTGTAGAAAACTTTAAATGCTTTGACAAGTTCCATGTTAGGTTTAAACTTTAAAATGACATAAGAGCCGCAAACCATATGACATTTAAATGAAATAAGCTGTCCATCTTCCTGCGTTCTCTTGTCCTTGCTCTCTTGTGGTCAGAAATATTGAAACTACAGCATTGGTTCGTCTACCTACGCACCAGCGCTGACATGTGAGGTTAAGACACTTTTCTCAGTTTCAAAAGAACCAAGGAACAACACAGTGCTGCTCAACCAAAAAGGCTGCTAGTCGAGCCACATCATCCCCTCTTGGAAGCAACACAGACATGACATGTTTTGCTACAACACATCTCCTGAAAAAGGAATCAGGGGACTTAAACAAGGCACAGGAAAGCAGAAGAAAATGGCTTAACACATAGTACAGGGTGGTGCTGGAAAACAACAGCTGGCGAGGGATGAAAACAAAATCGCTCGGACGAGGAAATTAGAAACACAAAAAAGCTGGAGTTGATAATATCACGGATCAAAGTCTCTTGTTTTTTGGAGCACTTGAATCGATTTAACCAGGCCTGTGGTGGAAGAATTTACGAGCACCATGATAGCACAGTTTTCTTTTGCATAACCCCTGAAATCGGGCCTCAGGGTTGTGCTGGAACCTCACGCTGCAGGCTCCAACAAACTCAAACCTTTCGGCTCTGATGTGAAGTCCCGCAGGGGTCATCTCCTCCCACACTGACCAGCAGGACAGTCACAACATTGCTGTTAGCAGGGCTGCAGTCACAGCCAAGGGCCTACAACCCTGAAATGAAGCCATGTGTGGTTCTTTGGCAGGCAGGGTCTGAGAAAAGCCATCTTGGCTTTGAAGATGTTAAAGCCAGACCTGCATTTTGCTCAAGTGGAACTCATGGGGTGAAGAAGCCTGAACAGCTTGTGCTAATCTGGTAGACAGTAGCTGTCACACTCCCAGCTTTGTATGTTGGGTAAGGGTAATGCTAATCTGGACAGAAGAGAAACAACTGCTGCATAAACTGCAACAGCTCCACTATGATCGTTTTCTTAGGCTCTGGAGATCATGCTGAAACCCCTTGAGGCTGATGTAAATTTAACAGTTTTTAACTGAATATGCTTTTAATAAAACAAGGTTCATTACAGTTACAACACTGTCACCAATGTAGTGCCAACAGGACCATTGTGAAGCTAGTGAAAGGAAAAGAATTTAGACCAAATGGTTTCCCATAATTTCCCTCCGGAGTTCTTTGAGGGGTAAAAGCCACTGGAGCGTACGAAAAAGGGCATCCTTGTGGATTGTGGGCACCGTGTGAGGTTTCAGATCTATAAAATGGCTCTGTCTTACGACCAACTTGGCGGTATCGTGTGAACACCCATCAAGGCACAACAGAACATGCCACTTCTTCAAACTGCTGTGACCGTTTAAGTCACCACGGCGAAGGCATGGGATGAAACACTCTCCTGCCAAGCCAAATGAAAACAGTATGGTGCACAGCTGCCATTGGGGATATGGGCGTTTTACAATGAAGTATGCCATCGAAAAAGAGGGGAAGGTCCAGATTTATGACATTTAACAACGCTGATGGTGAACTTTTAAAGATGATTCCATCACATGAAGTCAGTGAATCATCAGTTTTATTAGCATAAAGGGCATTCTTCGAGCATTTGTTTTTGGCAGATGGTGTAACACAGTTGTAGTTACAGTAGGAATACCAAAGTCCAGAGCTGGAGGCCCACATGCTAAGGCTGTACAATACAGACATAAAAAGCTGCTGGGTATCATGATGACGATATAAGAAGTAATAAATAATTATTAATACGTTGTGCCTCTGACTGGATGTGATACATACTTTTTTGTTGATGTGTAAACAGAAATCTGACTAATTTCTCCATTAAGCAAAAATTAATGCACACTCATAACACAATCCAGGGTTTGAGAACAATCCTAATGTTTTATGTACTTTTACAGGCTTGTAGTTCAGGATAGAGGGGTTTTTGAGATGTGTATGTATGTGTTATGTAATTGGTTAATAGCTGAATGGTTAATTTAGTTGCCTCCTATGAGGGAGAGTAGAATTCAGTCCCAGCGCAGAGAAGTTAGACTTCTAATGGTTTGTGCCAGTAAAGTACTGATGTCTGTCTATTGCTGTGTGTATGAACTAATGTAGTCTGTTCTGTCATTGCCTCTCTAATGATCCGTTTATCACTGAAACTCGTATTGTGCTAATGATCAAAATGATTTATCGTACAACCCAACAAAACACTGTACATTAGGAACTTAGAGATATAGGAACTGTGGTCCAATACTGAGATCCAAATCTCTTAATGCAGATGCAAACACATGTACACCTATAAAAACATAAAAACATCCTGGTTTTGCATTAAGAACTATAAAATGAAGAACAAATAAATTGCAGACATTTTACCATGGTAGCCCAGTGCTGCCTAAATAGTCTGCTCTTCTGGAGTGCAACACACTTTTCATTAAAGTATTAGTTTAAAATATTGGTCAAGTTTAAACATCTGTCTGATATCAATCATCTGTTAATACCCATATAATTCTGATATCATCATTTATCCCTCCTGTACTTTTTAAGGCTTGTCTTGGCTTCAAACACTTTGTTCATTTCACCAACAAAGTATCAGCTGCTTCATGAGATCGGGTGTTTCTGAGCAGGACAAATGCTCAGCTGTGCAAGGTTATGACCCATGATCAACAAGAGTGCCATACCAAACCACGCTGCATGCTCGGCTCCATGCAAGACGATGGCAAAACAATCTTTAGTTCTCACAGCAAACGATATTATCTTAATGATCTAATAATACTATCTAGCAATGCTTTCACGTAACTCAAGAACTGAGTGTTCATCACGACGCACTGCCGAGAAATAGTGTTTTGTTTGTTATTATTAGGAGGAGGTTGGAATATTGTAGGTAATACAGGAACATGGCCAGTAATTTTGCTCTAAACTATTACAAAACAGACTTAATGACTATAGAAAACAAGGTTTAAATCAATATAATCATTAGTAAAAGAGTAAAACTTTAAGAGTTGCCAAAATCTATACTCACATACAAAAGAAGATCATTTTGGCATGTATTACCAACCTCTACAATACATATAACTTTCTTAAATATTACTTTTTATTCACCATATACTTTTACGTGACTGTAGTTTGAGGCCAAAATGTTCAGTTGGTCACGGAGGTGTCATTCATCACTGTTTTAGCAAAGTCATGCATGTTTACTTGTTAAGTTATTGTTTTACGTCCCATATTTCATGTTAAATGTCTCTGAAGTGTTTCTGGCATTGCACGCAGTTTGGCATCGTCACTACAGCCAAGTGAAACTGAAAGTATGGCAAGAACGTCAACGTTACAAAATAAACCTCAACAAAGGAGTTTAAAAAACTGAGGCATACAAAGGAAAGAATGTTACTTACACGCCTGTTAGGAGCTTCAAATGTCTTTATTTAAACTAGTGTTGACACTGAACTCCAACATAATGCTGCACTATCCCCGCTACCTTGGCACTAACTTACCATACGAGGAGAATTATTTTAGCATTCGTTTAAAACAATAAAAAAGGCTACTTAATAGATTTCTACAGCATACACTGCTGAAAGGTTTTATGCCTGTACCTGATAATGTGAACAAAATTTAAAAAGCTGAAATTAAAGAACTTTATTAAGGTAAGTAATTTGTGTCGGCTATAAAAAGAATCCCGTTAACAAGCATTTCGCACAGGTTCAGATTTGTTGACGGACTGATTACGAAAACTGGCAAAACCCAATAATAAAGATTGTTTAAATTTTTATTTATTTCCATGTTTCTGTTAAGATGTTATTAGCATTTAACATATATAGTTTGTTTAAATTTTGTAGGAATTTCTGTCCATAAACCACTCATCAAACCACTCAAAGCATCATGAGGCGGAGGAATAAGGTGGATCATTTCAAATATATCCTAATAGAAAAGGCACAATACTATGTTTTTTACGATACTGATACCTTCAAAACTGACATCACACCACACTGTTGCTATTTCACTCTAGATTTGTTACAGGAATGGATAAAAATCTTTTATCCAGGATTTTCTGCTGACATCAGACTAATACCGATATCAATGTGTCATCTCTTAAGCTTTTATATGTGTCTATCTAGAACTGACATGAAGAAGAAGGTGTGAAAGGCCTAGTCTCTACATGACCTGCAAAGCAGGTGTCTTATGATTGTGATCTGTAATTGTTGGCTGGTTTATATCAGTGCTTCCCAACCCTGGTCCTGGAGGCCCGCTGTCCTTTACGTTTCACTTTCTCTGCTTTTACGCACCCACTTCAACTCAGTGAGGGGACACTAATGAGGCCCCCAGGCTGTTTACCACTGGTTTGGATAGCTCCGTTTTAACTGAACAGTTCAACAGATAGAGAGCTTTGGGTTCTTCAATTGTTCCAAGCATAACATCGTATCAATAGCAGAACACTTTCTGGTGCTATATAGAACCATTTTCAAAAAGCATATACAACCATATACAACACATTCTCCATTAATCTGAAGTACCATTTCACCATGCAAAGAACCCTTTGAACATGAAATGGTTCTGCACATAACTCATGGTTCTACACAGAACCACAGTCTTTACTAAAGAATTGTCAAGTGTAGAAGACAGGAGGTTTGCTATGTTCACGAGAGAGAGAGAGAGAGAGAGAGAGAGAGAGAGAGAGAGAGAGAGAGAGAGAGAGAAAGAAAGAGACAGAGAGAGAGATAGAGAGAGAGAGAGAGAGAGAGAGAGAGAGAGACAGAGAGAGAGAGAGAGAGAGAGAGAGAGACAGAGAGAGAGAGAGACAGAGAGAGAGACAGAGACTTTGACTTTTAACCCCCTTTTTATTGAAGCATTAATAATTAAAGAATTTTACATCCTATGATAAAGAGCTAATAGTTATATTAATAATAATGAGGATCCCCAAAGAGAATCCACCCATCCACAAAGATTCACCAATGAAATGATATCACACCCAGATCACTGACAGATACGATACTTTCACCAGCACACCACTTTCTCTCAAAACAGGAAATGTTCTGAGTACTTTGGTAAAAAACAAACTCAACTCTAATGCGTGACTCTACTAGGGCTCGGAACAGTTTCAGAACATCCACCTCCTGCCCTTCAGATACCAACCTGAAGGACTTCCACACTGATAACTTCGCTTGTCCCACTAAAAAATTAGCCAAGGTACATTTATAACGCTGAGCTTTAGAGTATTTACAGCCAAAGATAAACAGAGTCCGGGTGAACAGAAACCCCAGCCCTCTGAGCGCCCTGTCCAGGAGTTTGAAAAGAGGAATCAGTCTTTGACAGTCGGAAAAAGCATGAAAAACAGTATCAGGGTTATTACAGAAAATGCAAAGTGGTTGAACAGCCGGGTTAAATTTTGACACGAACCCATCTGTGGGTACAGCACAGTGAAGGATCCTCCACTGGAGGTCTCCTGACCGTTTGGGCAAGAGCCTCCATGAAGGCCGCAGACCCTCAGGGACAGAGAGATGGGCTCTCCATTTGGAGTCACATCTCCCCTTCAGCTCATGAAAGTGCAAGTTTTTAACACAGCTCTGGTACAAAGCCTTCTTTCCAGCTGTTGAGAAAGGCAACTTCTGTAACCCATTCAGAGAGAGAAGTTGCCCCTCAGTAATCTCAGGCTCGGAAACAGAGGGGCTAACAATCAACTCTGGAAAGCATTTCGGCCAATCCACCAGCCAGAGCACCAGCCACAAAAGCCTTCAGAGGTGGAGGCAAGGAAGCTTTAAGATTATTGATTAGACCCCCAATCACTCTGTCTGATTTAAAACCAACGAGCTGCGTTAAAACCACAGCTGATCGCCACTCTCCCTCCCCCAAATCAATCAGATGTCGAATTCGTGTTACTCCTGCCTTCGTAAAGGCGGTAGCGATTGTGCTGAACTGGTGAACTTGCTGAAGCAGAAAGGGGTTAGAAAATAAAGGCTCGTCCAGACCATAATGTGCATCATTGTCCCTCATCACTGAGAGAGACAGAGACAGAGAGAGAGACATGCCATAAAACAACAAATTCCTGTGGAAATTCCAATCAGAATTTGGCTAAAAATATTTGAATCAGTAATTGAACCTATTGCCCTTTATGGCAGTGAAGTGTGGGGCCTGCTTACTAATCAGGAATTTCACAAATGGGACAAACATCCGATTGAGACCCTGCATGCAGAGCTGTGTAAAATTATTTTAAAGGTGCACAGAAACGCCACAAACAACGCATGCAGGGCAGAATTAGGCCGATTTCCATTAATTATAAATATACAAAAAAGGGCAATCAAATTTTGGACACATTTAAAAGACAGCGACCCCCGCTCATATCATTATAAAGCCCTGCAGTACCAAGAGTTGAGCAAAGACAACAGTCCCCTCACTCAGCTGGTCCTGAAGCACAGTTCAACACAAACACACACTAACACCTCACTAACACACACTAACACCCCACTAACACACACTAACACTCCACAGGCTCAGGACCAGAACACACTAGGAAACCTAATTAGAGTGAACCAAATTACAAAACAGCTCAAACTGAATTATCTCACCTACTGGGAAACCGAGTCAAACTCACAGAGTAAAATGCAGTGTTATTTGGCCCTAAAACATCAGTACAGTGTAGCAGATTACCTGAGCACACTGACTGACCCTAAACTGAGGTCCACCTTGATGAAGTACAGACTCAGTCAGCACCGTCTGGCCATAGAGACGGGCAGACACAGGAAATCTTGGCTACCAAAAGAGGAAAGACTGTGCCAGCAGTGCCAGCAGAATAGGCCTGAGACAGAGCTGCACTTTCTGACTGAATGTACCAAATTCACTCAGATTAGAACAGAATTCTTCAGTAAAATCACCAAAACATGTCCTGTATTTGAAAATCTTCCCCCCACAGAGAAGCTGCCATATGTTCTAGGAGAACATAAAGAGTTCTGCACACTGGCAGCGCAGTACGTTCACACCTGCCACACTCTGAGGGACAGTGAGTGACCACACCATGTCAGAGATACACACCTATAAACACATACATTCTGATTATTATTATTATTATTATTATTATTATTATTATTATTATAACACCTGTTATATCTGTTCTTGCTTTATATCTGTTATTGCTTTTTGTATATGTTGTACTTTGTTCTTAATCTCCCAACAAAAGCTTTGGCAATACAAGTGTTAATATTTGTCATGCCAATAAAGCAACACTGAATTGAATTGAATTGAGAGATATAGAGAGAGAGAGAGAGAGAGAGAGAGAGAGAGAGAGAGAGAGAGAGAGACAGAGAGAGAGACAGAGACAGAGAGACACAGAGAGAAAGAGACAGAGAGAGAGAGAGAGAGAGAGAAAGAGACAGAGAGAGAGAGAGAGAGAAAGAGACAGAGAGAGAGAGAGAGAGAGAGAGAGAAAGAGACAGAGAGAGAGAGAGAAAGAGACAGAGAGAGAGAGACAGAGAGAGAAAGAGACAGAGAGAGAGAGAGAAAGAGACAGAGAGAGAGAGACAGAGAGAGAGACACACAGAGAAAGAGACAGAGAGAGAGAGAGAGAGACAGAGAGAGACAGAGAGAGAGAGAGACAGAGAGAGAGAGAGACAGAGACATTCCTGAACGGCCCTGTTTGTTTCCGAAAACAAACAAAGCGAAAGTGAAAAGTGAACTGTTAATATTTTAGCACTGCAAAAGGTTAAAAACACGCTTAACACACGTCTTAAAGACTTTTATTCTATAGTCCTAATTTGCGACAGCTGCAACTAAACCACTTAAAATGGAAATTAGTGAAATTACTGGAGTTAAAGTTTTCAGACAGACAAGTCAGTCAGACGAGCAGACAGACAGGCAGCGCTGCTGCAGAACCAAAATAACTGGAGATTAAACACTCTTACACTGTTACACACTCATATTAAAGCAGGCGCTGGCGGTTCTGCTGTACACAGTCTCATATTAACACACTTTAACTGACACCATCAACATTAACACTCACATCAACCAGCGCTCAGAACCGGACAGCCGACACGCGCACAGCGGAGAACGGACAGGGCAGTCGACGAGTGATGACGCGTGGGTCACGTGGTGAAGAACGACACGGCCGTTTAAAATCTTTCTCGGGATTTAAGACAAACTTACAACTTTACTTATCTCAGATTCCTGAAAAAAGGGCCAACATGCTGGTTTAAGGAGAATGATTTACTGTAATAAGATAATAAAATAATGTAATAACAGGATGGTTATCATATTGAAACAACAACAGCAAAACAACAACAACAACAATAATAATTTTTATGGTTGTGATTTTTGTTAATATTATCAATAAATTTTTATGTATACTTTTATGTGAACCTTTTTGTTGTTGTTCTGCAGTTATTTTGGTTGGTCGCTGTGTCTCTGTATTGAACAATACCACACATGCCTTATTTGTATGCATATTCGAATTAACTCGTTAAAAACAACATATTTCGACTTAAAATATTTATGTAGTTATTGTTAATCATAATACACGTTACTGTGTTCTACGACTGCAAACTATTATTATTTTGTAATTAAACCTGATTAGTTATTATTTGATGTTCTTTAGCTGCAGTCTGTCTGCCTGTCTTTCTTTCTATCTTTCTTTCTTTCTTTCTTTAACCTTTAAACTTAAATCTCAATTTTTGTTGAAACACGTACAAAATAGTGCTCCTGTCGGTCTGTTGTCTCTGACTGATGACGTATCGGTCACGTTCCCTTATCTGTTTGTAAGCGACTCCGGAAACCTCATCCGCTGTTTTCAGTCGTGGAGGAATAAAAAGAGAGAGAATAACTATGAGGAGGTTGATTTAGTGAATTAGAAACGGTACGTCGCTGTTACTACACTGCTGTTAATCTAGCCTGTTTTTCTAGTGCCATTATAGAGAGAGAGAGAGAGAGAGAGAGAGAGTGAGTGAGAGTGAGTTGAATAAAGCGGGTTTGTTGACTCGGTCGAGTTCATTCATCCTCAGCTGTTTTGGTCCGCAGGCTGGTCATCAGTCCGCCCCTCATTCAGTGCTCTCTTTATACGTGTCCAAGCGTTTTAGACACCTGATTGTCCAGTCTTTCTACTGAAATCAGTGCTGTTAACAGGGAGTTAATCCTTTGCTGCAGTAACAGCTTCTACTCCCTTCACTACACTCTTAAAAAGGTGGTTCTTCAAGCGTTCATTAGTAAAGACAGTGATTCTATATAGAACCAAGAACACTCAGAAACATTCGCATGCTTAAACGGTTCTTTGCATGGCAAAACGGTTTTCATGTTGATGGAGAATATGTTAGAGGTCCTATATAGAACCTTTCTGTAAATGGTTCTATACAGCTCCAGAAAGGGTTCTGCTGTTTTTACAATGTCAAGCTTGCCACAATAGAATTTTTGGTACTATATAGAACTATTTTTTAGAAAGGTTCTATGTAGAACCATATACAACACATTTTCCATCAATCTGAAGGACCGTTTCACCATTTAGGCTTGCAGTTGGTTCTTTGAGTGTTCACGGTTTTCTATAGAACTATTGAAGAAGCATATTTTACTCTTCATTCTGTTGACAGTACCTTTTTGTGGAGATTATACAAGCTGTGTCGCAGTGTTAGCAGTGGGTACACCTTCCAGTAGCTGAATTCAGTAGTTAGAAGGGGTGTCTGGATACTTTTGGAATATAATTATTAAAAAAATGATTATCAAAGAAGTCCTGTAATACATCTGATAATGAATACTGTATTGTTTTAAAGCATATTTCAGTGCCAGAGCCAGTCTATCTTGCTGAAGTGTGTTTAGTGTTATTGTTACTCAGGAATCATCGGGGTTTTATTTGTACTGGGGATTTAAAGACTTCTTGTAGGCTACTGCTGGTATAAATTCCTTAGTGGGTTGTCTCTGTCCCTGTATAGTGTGTGTAGAGACCAAGGTGGGAGAGGCCATGCAGCCCCTGAGGGACGCTGAGCTTGGGGCTTTCACCTTCTTCGCCTCCCCTCTTCCTCACGATGTGTGTGGCAGCAATGGGCTCCCACTGACCCCCAACTCCATAAAGATCCTGGGCCGCTTCCAAATCCTCAAGACCATCACCCACCCCAGACTGTGTCAGTATGTGGACATCTCTCGGGGCAAACATGGTATGGCTGATGTTTTGGTTGTAGTTGCTAGACAGGCATGGATTATCACATGTTCCTGATTTTTCTTTGTATCAGTGATTTCTCCTGTTTCTCTACTGTAGTGAAGGGGGTTGTGTTGCATGGATCATTGCATGGATCATTCTGCTTTCAAACAGTCTCTATGGACATGTTTTACTCTCCTGTCAATGTAGGGGTTGACAATATGATGATATTTATTGATGTTGTGATAAATTACTTTGCAGTTTGCTTTCCTGATATTGTCAATATATTTTTAGTTCCTAAAGAACGCTGACCAACTGCATGTTTCCTTGAAAGAGAGCATAGTTGGTCCTCTTTAATTGGATGTAGTGCAATGCAGTGTGTGAAATGTTGAGTAAAAATAATTGTATTCATAGTTTTTTAATACTGTTTTAAAAAATGGCATGACTGCTTCTTTTTTGTCTTTTCATCGTATCAAACTTCAGGGCCTTCAGACTACAAGGCCAAATTTTGCTGTATCACCCATCAACGTGTTGATGAGTAGTAGGCTGTAGTTAGGGATGCATTGATATCCAAAAGTTTTTTGCATACATATCTGTGTACATACTGTATGTGCAAAAGAGACACCACCCTTCATTTTTGAATTTCCTGGCAAGATGTCCTTTAGTTACAAGTTAATAATTTTTCAACCTCAGGAAAAAGCAAAAACAAACATTTAACAGAAGATGACACAGTACAATGTATTTAGTGTGTTCACTCTTTGCCTTTATTACAGCTTCTGCTCTTTTCAGGAGAGTTGCTTTTAGTTTTTCAAAGAACTGTGCAAGGACATTTTCCACACCTCCAAAGTTCGGTCTTAAAAGTTGCATTTTCTGCTTCTCACAATGCAAGTCATCCCGAACATATTCAGTGATGTTCGGGTCTGGACTCTGGGGTGGTCCGTCCATTGTTCTGAAAACACCATCAGCTTTTTTTCTTTCTTTTTTTTTTAGATTTGCGGTTTCCTTTTCTCAGTGAAGGCTTCTTGACAGCTACACATCCTTTCAGTCTGAAAAAAATGGTTCTTTTCAACTTATTTCCCTTTTCCTCTTCCGTATGCAAATAAATTGTCTTATATCTAACCTCAGAAAAATCTCCTGAACTTGGATTTATTGGCTGATTTGACTGGAAATTAAATAAAATGTGGTCTCTGACTTTTGCACAGTACTGCATATGCTGATGCTGATGGGCTTACAACATGTTTATAAAATGGAGAAATCACCAGAGAAATGTAACTTTCATGTGTAGAGGGTTACAAATGCAGTAAAATGAATTAGATGGAGACTTTTAAGCACAGTAGACCCAGTGTTGCTCAAACATTCTGAAATACAGTGAATGCATCAAATATAAATTAGATATCTGTCAAATCGAGTCATTCAGTCAGAGGCTGATAAATATTTATATCTGCCGGTACTGATATGACTGATGTTGTAGTCAATCCGTATGTAATCATCCACGGTTGTGCCTCTTTTCTCATGCAGCAAAGTTGTGTCATTGTTCTCTCTTTAGTCCATGAGTACTGTCTTATTGTTGTGGAGGTGCTTCATCCATAGCTAGTTTATGTTTCTTAAGTGAGGCCCCTTCTTAGCAGAATTGTGATAGATTAGTAAAGAGAACCAGCTGGCTTGAGCTGGAAAACCTGGATGCTATTTAGAGTGGTGGTAGCCTAAAAGAATACTTAAGGCTAATATTATGTTTTATAAATAATGGTTTGCTAGTAGTGGATATGGAATGAGAGGTTCATGAAAAATGATTACAGTAGGAACTAAAAGTCTAGATTTCTTATGTAAAGTAAAGCAAATTGCATTTTTTAATATTATATAATTCTTCACTGTCTCAGCATTTGATATGTCTATCATTCGCTTTAGCTCCTGTTTGACTGCTGTTTTCCATCAGTTCTAGAAGCTTCTGTAGAATTAGAGAGTGATGCACAGTACCTTTCACTGTTGGACTTTTGGTTTCACTTCATGAACAAGTATCATAAATTGATATTTATTTTTCAATTTTTTTGATTTTTTTTGCATAATGAGTAGGGATGTAGGAATGCAGTGGATGCATTGTAATGCATCGATCTAAAGATGGTGATTCAGCTGCTTAACTTGGGAAATGTTATATCATATCGTACTTGTTAATCCGATAACTGCAGAAAATCAGATTTTGTCAGTAATCCGTTCAATGCTCCGGGTCTACAAGAGTCTGGCAGTAATCGGATTTCTGCTTTGAAACCAGCCAAAAACTCACAGAAGAAGACGTGACGTTAACGTAAACTCAAACTCCATGCCGCAGATTTTTTTTCAAACATCGCACCACTTTACCTGAAAATATGAACATACATCGTCTAGAAAATAAAGAATATTTAAATCCTTCATTTCGTTGAGAATGTGTTTGGTTTCAGCTTTGCTCCAGAAGTATTGTGCTGCCGTCTTGCGGCAATGCTGCTTGCTTATTTCCGGTACCACTGTCTTTTTCGCACATGTGCACACTGAGAAATCCGAAAGAAATCAGAGTAAGAGTACACATACACTGAGAAATCTGATTACTGAGCTAAAATCCAGCTCTCTTTATCAGATTTCTTACTAGGATGTCTGGACCTTACTCCGATCTCAGAAATCGGAGTATGCTGTTTACATGGCCTTTTGAATAATTAGATAACTGCAGAAATCCAATTATGATTGGATTATCAAGCGCATGTAAACGCACTCAGTATAATCCTAAAAAGTATTTTGAAAAAACAGTTGAACTGTGGTGGAATTTGGGATTTCATGATGCATCGACAAACATTTTCACCTTTAATAAGAAGTGTCAGCTGAATACATGTTGAATTAGTTTGTGATAAAAAAAAAAAACCTTGTTCATGGTAGTTGAGTTCTACTTTTGTACGCTGCTGTATATATAAACACTTTCACATGTTTGCTGTAATAGGAGGAAAATGTTAAGCAGTCACTGCTGTTCATGGGTTGCTGCAATTGTTTGCACCCTTGGAGCAAAATAGGTTTAAATGCCTTGAAAAAGCACACACTGGCACAATAAGGGGTTCGAGATTTTGAGACTGTTAACAAGAAGCTTGTTACATGTACCTTATAAATGACACCTGTTAAAGGTTAGACCTTTTATAGATGGCATTTACCAAACACAGCCCTGTTTACCTCATGCCATCGATACCAGGAGTGGTTTTGACCGCAGTGTTGAAAACTGACCTTAGGTCAGTGGATCATAGACTCTAATGTTCAAGGCTGATTCCAGATCAGTACATGTGTTCATGTCTCTGTATGTGAGCACAGTGATTCAGAGGCTCTTCACTGACTTCTTATTATTCATCTGTTCATTGCCTTTGCAGAAAGACTGGTTGTGGTGGCTGAGCACTATGAACACAACCTCAAGGACCTTTTCAAGCAAGACAAAGCAGTCAGGTAAAATCTAAAAGAAATACAGAAGGATTATGCAGCTTAATTCAGTAGCTTGTTTTAATACCTGTAATTTTCATCAACCTAAACTACCATTTGTTTAAATTACCTAAGGTCTCGCAGTTGTGTTGTGTGTATTAGCAGCATATTGGCTCTAACAGAGCTTTTATTTAAATCCAAACTACTTTATGTAAATGCACTCTCAGTACAGTAACTGCATAACATAACACAGTATGAACAGAACATTGATTCAAACTGATGAGTATATTTGTGGTTGTGGAAGGCAAACTTTAGCATGTCGCTGCTGTTGGAGCGAATCCATTTGTCTCCATTTTTGTCAGTTAGAAAATGCCTGTTGGCCTTTACATTTTGTGCAAATTTTGTAATGAATGGGCCAAAAGAAACAGCCCAAAATTGCTTGGGAAAAAAGTCTGGTTCCATTGACTTACATTACAAGTGAAGTATGTTTTTTCTTCCTCCTGTAAAGTTATCATTATGGAGATACAAGGTTTTGTTCCGACAGCAGTGAAATAGTACAAGTGCAGAAATGAGCTATGGACATTGATGGGGCATAGGAAGTTAAGTAAATTAAAAGAAATGCACTTAAGTCAGTCATAATCAAGGCACAGTAACCATAATGCAGATTTTCAGACAGAAAACATTCGCAAAAAATTCATTAATTGCAGCATCAAGACACCAGTGAACCCTTGATGTGACATGATTGTATGGGTGCTTTCCTCACAGCCAAATTGGCCAATCGCTAATTTTTTGGACAAATTTTTATTAGCTTTTATTTTTGAGCCGAAACTCACAGTTGCCCTTATTCATCAAAGTTTTTGTCGTAAAAAGGGGCACATGCGATTTTCAATGACAGGTTTGTTATTTATCAATTTTATCTATATGATCAAACTCGCGTGTGTAAATTTGAACATAATAGTTTAACCCTTGTGTGGTGTTCGAGTCTGTGGGACCAATTTTTAATGTTTACCAAAAGAAGAAATTATGCGATTTATTATTATTTCATCCTCAGATTACTTGGCCTGTGCTCATGAGGAACATATAAATTACATAATTTTCAGTGACTTCACACTGTAAACCCCCTAGACATTTATATTACATATGTGCTGTTGGGGTGAACCTGTGGGGAATTAAAGTGTGGAGGTGCTGTGTCCCTTCACTCTGATCTCCTCCTTCATGGCCCGCTGTTAGTGTGTGTGTGTGTGTGTGTGTGTGTTTGTGTGTGTGTGTGTGTGTGTGTGTGTGTGTGTGTGTGTGTGTTTGTGTTTGTGTGCTGGCCACTTGTGATATTTTAAACATCTGGTATTTTTACATAAACTGTTATGGATGTATTGATTTAAAAAACTAATAATGCTGTGGGTTTACCAGACCACTGAGTAACAGAAACATCACCACCACACAAGGGTTAACAATTTAAAAGAAAATGCTTGAAAAACCATTATCAATATCATCTACACTCTCGAAAAAATGGTACTAAACTGTCACTGGGGCAGTACTCCTCTTGTCTTTGGGGTGGACTCCACACACCCCATCTCGTCTCCAGGCTTTTAATTTTATTGTTCTGTTTTAAAACATCAGGTTATGAAAAAGTATAAATATGTACTTTTTACCTGGGAAAAACATATTTAACAGACACAATTGGACCTTAAAATCACTGTACCTTTACCTTTGAGGTTAAAATGACATTGTTTTTACCTTGATGAACGAAAAATGTATCTGCACAGAACCTTTATTTCTAAGGGTATATAATACCAATAGTAGTAACTATAAAATACGAATAATACTAATAATTTGTGCAAATGACAACCCAGCACAAGAGTGAATGTACTTATTTTAAATGCACATTAGTATAAATAAATGCTGCAACTATTCCCCCGTTCCATTTCAAGACATATTGTATGTGCTTTTGTTTTATGCTACTGACACCAGCCAAAAAAAACCCAATACAAAAAACAGCTAGTGCAGAAGCATCTCATACACTGCAATAATACAGCAGTTCAATATGTAATTTTATGAAAATAATCACACCACACAATCACATTATTCTATCGTATTAATAAATCTAAGACATTTTGTTTATTTAACAATTTAGTCTTTCCAGTCATCGTAATTTTAAAGCTATAACATTTGGTCAGTAGGGGGAGCAGTGCACTCGCTGTTCAACCTCACACTCTGCCTGTGGGCACAGCCATTGGCTCATGAGCCACTGAATGCTGTTATTGGCTCCCTACCAAAACATCTGCATAAGTTAGGGTGTGTTTCATGTTAATGATATGTAAATGAGGTACTGGTAGACTTATGCTTGATTTCATGCACTAAAGCTGATTCACCACTTGCACTCAAATCTCTGCTTGTTTCTGGAGTGTTTGTATGTCATCAGAGGCAGTCAATTCAGTCATTCTGTGCCCTTTTTTTGTGAAAATGGGTCATTGTGTGAGGTAAACAAAAACGTAAAACACAGTCACATGTTTTCAATACTTTCTGTTAGACAAAATTGCAATAGAATGTACATTATTTGCTCTTTATTATGCATCTACAGCAGAATCTGCTCATTTTTATCATTCATCCCTAATCAAAACATCCACAGAAGCACTTGTCTGGAACTGTCATTGATCAGGATGCACACATTACACAGTGTAAACAAAACAAATCTTTAAACTCTGTGTTCTAGCTCAGAGAGGGTGCTGCAGATTGCCTATGAGGTTTTGGAGGGACTGGCTTTTATGAACAAACATGGCCTGGTGCATCGAGCCCTCAGCCCGCATAATGTGCTTCTGGACTGCAAGGTACTGAAGACGTCTCCTCAAAGAGGAATTTCACCAATTTTTCAAATTTCCTGCATAATCCAGTCGTTTAGACAACTAAGTCATTCAGCATGGTTTGATTTGAAATTCATTGTAAAGAAATTTGAAGACTCAGATTTCTTTACAGTGGCGGTGATAGGAAGCAGTGGTCAGGATGATGTAGCAATTTTGTTTACTCTCCAAAATGACCAGTGAACCTCCATGTGTCGTCTGAGTTTGTGTATGTAATGTTGATGATGGTAAAATAGTGGTAAATCTGAAAAAAAAACTGTTTTCTTTAGGGACTCTTATTGCCGTACAGTGCCCTGCATGCACCTCTCTGCCTTGCATGGTTTTTAAAAATAGTCTTCAGGCTAAAAATGTAAAGCAAAACTATCATAAAACAATGTATCAGGCATTAGGGAGCACATATATAACCATTTCACATAATTACTTTCTGTGAGGTATGTTGTATTGGCATTAAACTCAGATGTTTTGTTCCTATCACCATCACTGTGAACAATTCTGACTCTGTAAATTTATCTAGAACGTAGCATTTCACATCAAACCGCTCTAAATGATTTGGTCACATCTTAACTATTTAATCATGCAGAAATAAAAAAATTCACTTAGTTTCCCTATAAATAGCAGGGGGGGTGCTAGATTTTGTCATGTTTTTTCTTTCTTTTTTAGTATAAAAGACTGCCTTATAAAAGTATAAAAGTGGTACAGCACTACACAGTTGTCTGTGCTCTCCTTGTGTTAGCAAAACTTGTTTGATTCATCGGCTAACTAACAAAAATTGGCAATACATTAAAGCAGGCACAATGCTAAACCGTGCAGTACTGTGGCCTTTGAAGGAGTTTGGCACCTCTCTTAAGAAACTAGCATTGCATAATGAGTTGTTTAATTGAGCCCATATATAAAAAAAAAACATTATGTATTAGAAATATATTACATTTCAGTACTGTGCAAAAGTCTCTGTTGCCTTAGCAAATAACTGTTTATCTGGGCAGTAAGTGAGATTCTACCCGTAAAATCTTTATATAACACTAGAATAAATTCAGTCAAACATTGATACAGTAAAAAGCAACAAAAGTTTCTTAGTTTTAAGTATTTAGTGAGCTGATTAGAAGAGCAAAGCTTGGTTCTGGATTCCAATTCCACCACCACCACCACCTTATTTAATTTGATGAAGGACTGATTTGCCAACCAGGTATTGGGTGATAACTACAAGTAATACTGGGCTGCCATGTGGAGAGCTTTGGAAAGTACACTGACATACATAAATCACTGCTTTTTGTATTAATATTGTTTCTTTTTGTTTTAATGTTAAAGTTTTTCGATGCTCACTGCCCAGAAAATCTCATTTTTCCAGGTCCACAAGACTTTTGCACAGTTCTATATTTATGTGTGGGGGTGGCAGGTAGAGATATAATGTGTTATTCATATCTGTTCTGTCATTTTGTTATATTTTAGTACGATTGCAAATTTTGCTGACTGATTACTGCCTTTGAATTTTACATGGATAACAGTTACCATGCACATGACTCCATTATTTCAATGGCGTCTCTATTGTTTTATTGGATAACAACTTTTCTTTTTCACATTGTGAACAGGGCAACGTTAAGCTGGCCAAATTTGGTCTTTGTCATATGACGGATCACGGAGCAGATGTGGATTTCCCTATCGGGTAAGCAGTTTCTGCTCTAATCCTTTTCCCCTCGTTCTGCGCTCGTAATGCATTCTGCAAAATTCAAGCCGTATGATTTTCAGTTTTTCTAAGGACACGGATCTCTTTATGGGTGCAGATGGAATCCTATTCAGATTCCCATTATGTAAAAAGCTTGAGGGAATCTTTAAACTCTGCATGGATCTCACTAAAGATGCATCATGGCTCTGATCTGAAACGTCAGCATTTCATGAAAAAGAAAGATCAATGGCGTGTGCTGTGCTCTCATAATGAAACAAGATGAGCTAATATGAGATGTGTGTCATCATGGTCCATCTTCATTTTGATCAAAACCATGTCTCGGATATCAAAGCAAACTTCCTCTTAGGCAGTCGTAAATAACAGGGCCAGGCAGCAGGCCTCGTTCTCTGGGGCTTTGCCGTCTAATATCCGGCTGGAGATTGCCTTTTTCGGGGAGGGATGATGGACGCCCACAGTGGATGCTTCTGACCTTGGCATGTCCTTTTCTATCTGCTTTTGCTGCACAGCCACATCTGCCCAGAAAATGTAATAAGCTTATCTGACTCCAACTTTGATGCTGCTGCAGTGATTCGCTGTGCTTGGCCTTATTGTGGACAGTTATGTGAACAATATGAGCTGAGATGGAATCGCTGTGGCAGTGTTCTCTCTGATCACCACAGATATATGTTTATTCATATTTGCTGTGTGCCTGTAAGGCCTGGCTTGCTTTTGTGAACTTGTTAACATACACAGTAACATAATGCATGCAAATATGCTTTTCTTTCTTATTCTTGCCTCATTTGCAGCATCTTTAATATCCTTATATAATCAACAGTGATGTAACCCCTTTGTTTCCAGGGGCCATATTACAGAAACTCTTAAATCTTACCTTTGTATCTGGAAGGTCACTTAGGACTGACTTTAGGACTGTATGCATTAAAGAGTGATTTCCTGAGTTCAATATTTAATTATCATATCTGCTTTATTTAATATATATATATATATATATATATATATATATTGGAAAAATTATATATAGATTGGTAAAAGTTTTACAGAAGTGTCCTAACTTGACAAAATTTCCTAAATGCTTTAACTATATACCTTACATAGTCATTTCTAGGGGTGTAACGATACATGTTTTCAGGTTTGATCCCATTTTGGATTTTGAGTTCATTTGTTATATGTCAAAATGTCTTTAGAGTTTATAAGCAACATCAGAAGACAAAAGCCCAGTCAATTGAGCGTGGATGTGTATAAGATAAGCCCCACCCCTCCGCACCCACTTTTCTCTGATGGGTTGAACCCCGAAGCCTGGTTTCTGTCACTGACAGTGGTTTCCTGGAAAGACAGCAAAAGAGAGACTTAGAAGAGAGTGTGAAGCATATCTGTGATACAGTTTTACATTTCTTTTGATTTATACCATTTCAGACTTTTTTCCATACCGTATTGAAATCATTACAGCTTGTTATTTTAAAGTAATTACTGAGAAATCCACAGTTGTCATGAGATAATAAGCCTTAAGATTAATGACAGAATAATATGCCTGCAGTTTAAGGAGTTAACAGATTGCTGGATTTAATTTCACAGTTGTTTCCTGCACATTGTTTATTGCAGTAGATTATAATTATATACTGTTTGAAAGTAGCACTGCTATTATCTAGACCAGGGTGCCAACGTCCAGTCAGCTCATCAGCTAATGAACAATCCTTCATTATTACCTGAAAAGCTGAGTCAGAGGGCGAAGCATTAAACTGTGCAGGGCAGTTTGATGCCCTTGAGCTGAATCAATGTCTCCACTGAGGAGTGTCTCTGGATATGCTCTGTCACCCATCTCTCTCTCTCTCTTTCTCTCTCTCTCTCTCTCTCTCTCTCTTCTCTTTCTCTCTCTCTCTCTCTCTTTCTCTTTCTCTCTCTCTCTCTCTTGCAGGTATCCTTCTTATCTGGCTCCAGAGGTGATTGCGCAGGGTTTGTTCCACTCCTCTGAAGGCTCTCTTGGGGAGCCTCCTCTGCCGTCTGGGCCTAAAGCAGATGTGTGGTCTCTGGGAGTGCTGCTGTTTGAGCTGTGTGCTGTATGTGCTTCCCTTCCTACATTCAGTTTTCACAGTTCTAGCAATGGCTTATTCCAGGATGAGGGCCATAGCTGAGATATACATGCTTCATTTCCTCTTTGTGCATTTCTACAGTGATGTGTTTTGTTCAGTGTACACTCCCAGTCTGAAGTTTAGAATGATTTGTTATTTTTAGCATGCTGCTTTACTCATTTTAGAATAAACGTAATACATTAATACATATGGAATTTTACAGTGACCAGTAAGGGTGCAGGGAAAAAATTGATTCTTAGCTGCATCGCGATGCGGACGTGAATGATTCTGAATCGATTCACAAATGTCAAAAATCGATTTTCTAAATATTTCATTTATACCGTGATGTTGACGGAACGCAAAAGGCAGAACCTGGAAGTGCGGAAGTGCAGCGCCCGGACAAAAACACAACTGGATGAGCGAGAAATCCGACCGGCTCCCTCTGCATTAAAGCCAGGTTAGATCAGGAGTCACAACCCAAATGATAAGAAGAGCCATTTTGACCTTTCAACAAAAATCAAACCACCTTGGGAGCCACAACATTTAATGTCCAGTATGTCTCAGTATGTTATAATGTCCTAGTATAGACTAAACAATATAAACGAGATCAGATTTACTCCACTCTGCTTTAAGCTTTAACTATAGCCGCTTTCCTCCCATCTCCGCCAGAAAACTTTTCCTCAGAAGTAGATCAGTTAAATGTCTCTCAACGTTCGACTGTTTTACGAGGCAGAAGTCGCTTCTTATTCTCCAGCTTCTTTTTCGAATTTACCCATTCCACCTTAAATTCGTTGCAGATTTAACGTACCAGTAAACCAACTGCGCTGCTTATAAATGCGAATAACACATCGCTGCTATGTGACCTGCAGTCTGCACGGCAGTTCTCAGTCGATGCGAAACAGGGCTTTCGCGCTATGTTGCACACGTCCCGTCTCAAAGATATTTTACTGACACAGCGACCCCGCCCGTCTCTACAACGAGACCAAAACCGAAGTTATAAAATCACTAAAGAAAACGGGTAGAATAGCTGTAACGTGCTGTGTGGACATCCACTGACACTGGATCTTATTTCACCGTAACTGCGCATTTTATCACAGATGAGTAGCAGCAGCTTCTCGTGCTCCAAACAAGAGCAGTGAATAAGAGCCTTCTAGTTCACTTGCCACATCACTTCCATTTGTTTTATTAAAAAAGATATTGGAAGTAAATTCTTTATGGATCATTACAAATACTTTACTTTAAAAGTACCAAGTCACTTTAAATAACAATAACACCGAGTCACTTAGTCACTTTAAAATGTATATTGTCTCTATATTCTGTATATATTTTGTGTATATTTAATATATTTCGGTTGGTTTTTCTTGTATTTTTATTTTTACTTATTTACTTTCTGTAGAGTGATTAGCTGAGCCTCACCACAAGCATTTCAATGCATAAATGTCCTGACATGTTGTGCAAATGACAAATACACTTGAAACTTGAACTCGAAACTTGAGCTCACACAGTGAAAAAATATAAATGCTATATAGAAAAAAAAGATGCATCGATAATCGTTTTATAATCGCATTGCAGCCCTCTGAATTGTAATCGAATCGTGAGGTGCCTAGAGATTCCCACCCCTAGTTACCAATAAAAAAAATTAAATTTTCTTATATGTTCTTCTTCTGTTCTTAAAGGCCCATATTTATAGTGTAGTCAAAATTCATTTTTTACATGACCATTTTGCAAATTTGGGCTTCATTCACCAACCATTCTTAAGCAGAAATTCACTGCTGTTGGAAGAAAACCTTGTATCTCCACTTTTGGCTTTTTTTTTAGTTTTTGACATAATTTGAAAATGTCTGTTGCCCTTTACATTGAGTGTAAATTTCATGAGGAATGGACCAAAAGAAGCAGCCCAAAATGACTCCATTGGCTTACATTAAAACTAAAGTAGGTTTCTTCCTTTTCTTGTGATGTGTTTTGTACATATGAGATTTTCTTCCAACAATAGTGATTTTCTTCTTAAAACCCACTTATGCAGTTTTCACAAAGATTCTGACATTCGCCAGTGTTTTATTTGAGATTTCCTTTTAGGTAATGTGCTTTATTCCAAAAACAGGCTGGGCTGAAACACAACTTATAACTTGAATGATTGGGGCTAAACTGCAGTAGGTTGAATGGATGGTAGTAGTAGGGAGCGGTATAGACTAATATTTATTCACGGTATAATTACTGATGGTTTCAGTTTATATCATGGTATAGTGTATTTATGTTTATTTTTTTCAAATAAAACCATTTGGGGTGCTTTTATTGTAGATTAACAATGGCAGAGCCATATTTAACAACTAAACTAAATCTAAAATATTTTTATTGGGCGTAGAAATAAAAAATTTGGATTAAGTACATATTAGAAGCCGTTCACACTATCAGTTTTAGCTGAGAAGCTGTGGAACCTCTTGGCTTGTAGGCTGAGACTGCAGCATCACCTGAAGCAGCTGGCTGAGAGCCATAAGGTGAAAAGCTGGCTAGTCCTGACGCTAGGCTAATAGCTAAAGGCTAACTCCAGGAGACTTTTTCTTCCGCTGTCTTACCCTGTTAACTCAGTAACTCATTACAATCTGATATCTGCTCTTTTGACAGTAAACTGGACTAAATTACCTCAGAATGCAACTCCCTACAGGAGAGGTGAGGGAATCAGCGTGTTTTGCGCTGTTTGTGTGTCGCGTTATCTGCGGTTGTTTGCATATCGGTATAACAATAACGACTAAACTAATGCCTTAAAAAGAATTTTACACCAGATGAACCTGTGTATCGCCCACTACTGATGGGTAGATATATGAAAATGTGTTTTTCATGACATTGCAGAAACAATAAATTCAAAATAAGCTGGAGACTGTGGACAGGAGACAGAACGATATGTTTTGGAACTTTAGCAGTGTTTACATACCACATCAAAATTTCAAAAAAGTGAGGAAAATATTATTTGTATTCATGAGCTTGTTGAATTTGAAATGTATTTATAATTATGAAAAGAATTTGTTTAATCAGGTGTGTCTAAACTTTTGGCTGGTGGTGTATATTGTACAAGTGAACTTATTCTTTACTATTATAGCAAATACGGTATATATCTACATGATGGAAATTTTTACACTAAATTTCATGTTGTCCAACAGGGGAGGCAACTTCTGCAGAATATTGAGATCAGTGAGAGATTAAAGTTCATTATTACTTTAGGTAAGTTCAGTTTTTTATGTCCCAATTTAATGTATGTTCTGTAAATATGTTGATCCCTTAGAAATCTAGAGTTAATACTGTCATTTTGATATGCATTCAGTTTCCACTACATTAATATTTAAACATAATTATATAATTACATAATGAATTACATATTTATGACGTAAGAGTTACATTTACAGAATGGAAGTTGAATGTATCAACAGCTTTGAGTCTGTACCTTCAACTTTTTTCATTTAATGTCAAAAAATGACAAAATTATGTCAAAAATCATAAAATTGGTTTTCCTTTCTGCAAAGACCTGAATGTACATGCAACAACTTTTCATCAAATTCAAATCAGCGTAAAATATTTCCTCTCCTACTTACGAACACAAGTGTGGTACTAATCAAAAGTTTAGAATCCACACTTTCTGCTTGTTTCAATGAGTTACAAGTAAGAACTAATTAATAAAAAAAGTGCATCATGCTTTTAACACCAGTCATAATGTAAGAGTTAAATGGTGGATATGAACATAAATCATTTTTTTTTTGTTCTGCAGGTTGTATGGATGACATAGTCACTGTCCTTGCCGAAGAACATGGATGTCTGGACATCATTAAGGTGAACCTGATTTGGCTGTGCTCATGCGTAACTGGTTAATGGCCCAAGAAATGGCCAAGTACTGCTTGTCTTTTTTTTGTCTTTTATAACTGTAATAAATGTCAGTGTTACTAATACAATAATTCATGTGAATTACAGGAGCTTCCGGAGAATGTGATGGCTTTATTGAGGAAATGCTTGACTTTTCTTCCTTCAAAAAGGTAATCTGCCTCAAATAGTCCATCATTTCCTTCCGGAAGCATGTTCCCCTCTGTTACTGAAGCTCCATTCGTCATGCTGTCGAAAGAGACGGCTGTTATGTTTTATTATTTTTGAGGAAGGCTTGAAGTGTAATTTTTGGGACTTGTGTTTGTGTTTTTGATACTTCAGGCTGACTGCAGGAGCACAGTTTGTTTATTGATTTTTTATGACAAAATGCTAATTTCTGATGTTTCAGATGCATTTTTCTGTATCTTTGCTTTTGGCAAAGGACTTAGCGGAGTTTATAAGTCAGTTATTGTGTCAAAGGATAAACTCCGATCAGGCATAACATTATGACCACCTCCTTGTTTCTATGCTCATTGTCTGTTTTATCAGCTCCACTTACTATGTAGGTGCACGTTCTAGTTCTACAATTACAGACTGTTTCTCTGCATACTTTGTTAGCCCCCTTTTACCCTGTTCTTCAGTGGTCAGGACCCTCATGGAGCAGGTACTGTTTGGGTGGTGGGTCATTCTCAGCACTGCAGTAACACTGACGTGGTGGTGGCGTGTTAGTAGGTGTTGCGCTGGTCTGAGTGGATCAGACACAGCAGTGCTGCTGGAGTTTTTAAACACCTCAGTGTCACTGCTGGACTGAGAACCAAAAACATCCAGCCAACAGCGTCCTGTGACCACTGATGAAAGACTAAAGGATGACCAACACAAACTATGCAGCAGCAGATGAGCTATTGTCTCTGACTTTACATCTACAAGGTGGGCTGACAAGGTAGGGGTGTCTAATAGAGTGGACAGTGAGTGGAAACAGTGTTTAAAAACTCCAGCAGCACTGCTGTGTCTGATCCACTCGTACCAGCACAACATACACTAACACACCACCACCACGTCAGTGTTACTGCAGTGCTGAGAATGATCCACCACCCAAATAATACCTGCTCTGTGAGGGTCCATGGGGGTCCTGACCACTAAAGAGCAGGGTAAAAGGGGGCTAACAAAGTATGCAGAGAAACAGATGGACTACAGTCTGTAATTGTAGAACTACAAAGTGCACCTATGTAGTAAGTGGAGCTGATAAAATGGACAATGAGCGTAGAAACAAGGAGGTGGTCATGATGTTGATGCCTGATTGGTGTAGGTCTATGTTCATAAACAAAAAACAAACAAACAGACGGCAATATTAAGCTATCTGTAAATGCATTTAATTAGATGAGTTTAAAGTTCATGTAACAAGCAAAAATAATACAAGGTAAAAAAGGTTAAAAATGAAAGCGTGGAAATGCTCAGAAGTAGGTTAGAGTAAACAGGTAGGTTTCCAGCTTTTTCTGTCTTTCTGAAATATTTAAAATGTACACAGAGCCATCATCATGGGTAGTAATGAGACTATGATGGTTTGAAAAGCTGATGAACAGCTTAAACCAGTCGTTCCCAACCCCATTTTTGCTCTGCTCATTTTTGTGTTTTCCTGCCAAAACACACTCACTTCAACTCAGAAACGGCTTGTTAATTAGGAGATTAGGTAAGATCAGCTATGTTGGGAGCAGGGCAAATATGCTGCTTGCTTTTTTCAGGATTCAGAGTAATATTCACAATTCAAATTGAACATTGGGTAAAGCTGAATAATAATTACCAGTATTGAATGATGTGGAAAAGATTTTCCAAGATTTTTGGTCATGTCACTCAGCCTCATCCTAATAAGGACTCAGTCCAAGTTCAGAGCAGGGCAAACACTAAAATGTTCAGGGCAGGGGCTTCTCCAGGACCAGGGTTTGGAACCACTGGTTTACACCATAGCTTTGCCAGACATTCTGTTTGAATTACATAATTGAGTTGTTAATATAAACCTCTGTCTCAGACCCACAGGCTGCTGAAGGACACAGTGTTTGAGGGAGTGTCCTGCCTCAACATATTTGTAACCATTTCATATCATAAATTTCTGTGAGGTAGCTTTAGAAGTATTAACCACTTCCACCATCTGGTTCCTATCACAACCACTGTGAACAATTCTGACTTGGTACGCTTCTCCATGGAGCACATGGAGCATTTTACATCCAGGCACTCTGAATGACTTTGTTTATATCGTTATGATTGAAATATGTTCCCATTTGCGTTAAGTGTAATACATGAATTGGTTTTCTACATGAGTATTAAAAAATGCAGGTATATGGAACAAGCAAAAACAATACAACGTAAAGGAAAAGTGTGAGAATGCTCAGCAGTAGGTTAAACAGGTGGACTTTCAGCTTTTATTTAATATTTAAAATGTACACAGAGCCCTCCAAGCATCAGAAGTGGTCATGAGACTATGACGATTTGAAAAGCTGGTGAGCAACATAAACCAAAGCCAGACATTCTGTTTCAATTACATAATTGAGTTGTTGATACTAACCTCTGTCACAGGCCCACCCCAGCGGAGCTGCTGGAGGACGCAGTGTTTGAGGGAGTTTCCTGCCTCTACACGCCCTATCAAATTCCGGTCAGTCTGTTCTCCTCCTCACTGCGCTGTGCCCACCTGGAGCTGCCTGAAGACATCAATGAACTCTGCAAAGGTAATGTTGATAATGCTAAAACAGTGATTTCCTTACAGCACCCTTCATGTACCTCTCCATCATGAATAGCTTTTAAAAATATATGGTTTAGCCTAAAGTCCAAGAGAGCACAATTGGCCTCTCTCTTTCTGGGTGGGTAGGGGGGCCCTACCTCTCCCCCCATTGCTCAGCGCAGGTGTCTGTTAGGTGATGTAACAGAACTGCCAGTTAGCATTCTCTTCCAAGCGTGTTTAACTGTCCAATGGCTTTGCCTTAGCCGCAGTTCGAAAAGATGCAGTGGCTGGCTTCGCATGTCTCAGTGGAAGCTTGTGTTTGCCTTCGTCCTCTGATGTTGGTGGCATTGTGTGATTGGGAGAGTCCTAACTAGTGGGTGGAATTGGATGTGGCTAAATTGGCAAGAAAAGAAAAAAAAAATTGTGTGGTTCACCACCACTGTGGACAATTCTGACCTGGTATGTTTCTCTTGGATGAAGCATTTTACTTTGAACCACTGTGAATGACTTCTTCACAACTTTATGATAACATTATGCAGCGATTTATAAAATTGGTGGTGTTCCCCTTTAAGTAACCTCTTTGCTTCACTTGTAATACATACATTGGTTCTCTGTAATCTCTGCAGTTGACGAGGAAGATTACTTGTCTGAGAGATCCGTGGATGAGGTCTACCACCTGTGGTGTCTGGCAGGAGGAGACTTGGAGAAAGAACTGACCAACAAAGGCATCATACAGTCCAAACCTCCTGTCTGCACCCTGCCCAAGTATACACCTACTCACACTGCACCTTATTTTCAGTAAAATACATTCTTAAAAATGATGGTTCTTCAAGGGTTCTTTAGTAAAGAAAATGGTTCTATATAGAACCATGAACATGCAAAGAACCTTTTGCATGATTAAACAGTTCTTTGCATCATGAAATGGTTCTTCAGATTGATGGGGAATGTGCTGTAGATGGTGCTATACAGAAGCTTTTTGAAAATGGTTCTAAATAGCACCCGAAAAGAGTTCTTCTATTCTAACAAGCTTGAAATCGTAACAATAGAAAAACACTTCTGGGTGCTGTATAGAACCATTTTCGAAAATGTATGGTATAGAATGATCTACAGCACATTCTCCATCAGTCTGAAAAAAAAACATTTGTGATGCAAAGAACCCTTTAATCATGCAAGGAGTTCTTTGTGTGATTATGATTCTGTATTTTGATACAGAACCATTTTGTTTACTGAAGCACCCTTGAAGAACCATTGTTTTTAGGAGTGCTCTGTATACTCTCTCGCTCTCTGGCTAGGTCCCACCCACACTTTTCATGTGTTTAACTGCTTCACAACAGTTGCACCAACTATAATTGCACCATTATATTGAAATATTGGTAGGTGGGACTAAGCATCAGTGAGTACATGAAATAAGTGACCTGAAACATTGCTTCATATACCATATGTAAGAACACGGTTCTGTTTAAACTCATTTTCTGAATGACTAGAACTAGGCTTTTTATCTTGGACAAAAGGCTAAAAATGCCTCTAATAATATTCAGCGATTGGTTTTAAATTAAAAGTATTTACTGAAGAATTCACTATAAAGTATTCATACTAAAGAATATGTTACTTTAATGTCTTGCCGGCTTTGATGTTTGTGTTTTTGGTAGATGTGTGATAAACAATGTTGAACCCAGTGTGAGAAAACGAATCTGTAACATAAAATTTCTGCATACATAAGAAAGGAAATCCTTTATTCCACTTTGCTTTGTGCCTAACAGCAGCCCTTACCCATGACAAACGCATGGCCTCTCTTGGCTTATTGCTTTCTTTCAACACATTTTGTATTGTATCATCAGAATGCAGCACATTTGAGTGCCTTAATGTGAGTGCCATGCAAGTACATGGCAAAGTTTGGGTGCTTCTGGTCAAAAAACATGCATTGTTGGTTTTCTAAGCAAAAATAAATGAGCATATCCGTGACAGAGAACACACTTTTGCACATTTTGATTCACAACAGAATTTGTTGAACAATAACATGGACTGCATGTGTATATTGCGTCCGCGTCACTGCATTTTTGCACTGCGTCTTCTTGCACATATACACACACATATCACGTATCCTGGAAGCTGCAATAATGTTACTGAGTGAGTAAACATTCTTTCAGCCCTCGTTTAAGGCTCATGTCTCTATCTAGACTGCTCCTGTTATTAAAGAAAGTCTCTCAGCAAAATGTCTAATTAGATCCTACAGCAAATTTACTTCTGGTTTTAAAAGGCAGAGAGAAATCCACTGGCTGCTACAAGTTGCTCAAACTTAAGTACAACCCCGTTTCCAAAGAAGTTGAGATGCTGTGCAAAATGTAAATAAAATACAATGATGTGCTAGTCATTTAAACCCTATATTTAATTGAAAATAGTACAAAGATAACATAACAAATATTGAAACTGTGAAATGTTATTGAAATATATGCCCATTTATTATTTTTGATGCCAGCAACATATTTCAAAAAAGTTGGGCAGGGGTAACAAAAGACTGGTGAAGTTGTGTAATGCTGAAAAATACCTGGTGGTTAATTGGCAACAGGTCAATTTAATATAAATAGAGCATCCCTGAGAGTCCTTTTTTAGAAGTAAAGAAGGGGAAGCGTTCACCACTTTGTGAAAGAGAAATAGTGCAATTCAAGAATAAAGTTTGTCATTTCATTGTCTAGGGTACATAATATCATTAAAAGTTTGAGAGAGTCCAGTAAAATCTATGTATGCAAGGGACAAAGCCGAAAACCAGTATTGGCTGGCTCTGATCTTTGGGTCCTCGGGTTGCACTTCATTAAAAACAACCACAATTCTGTAGTGGAAATGGCTGCATGGGCTCAGGAACACTTCTGAAAAATCTACCACCTTCTCTGGGCCTGAGCGTATTTAAGATAGACTGAGGTGAAGTGGAAAAGCGTCCTGTGATCTGACAAATCAAAATTCGAAATTCTATTTTGGAAATAATGGACACTGCGTTCTCTGGGCTAAAGACCACCTGGCTTCTTACTTCTTACTTCTTGATGACGGACAAGTAACCACAGAAACGCCTTGTTTTTAATGTGGAAAGCGCATGGACGTGACTTTGGAAATTACTTGCAAGTCACCGCGGATCTGTGGCAGTAGAAGCTCATGCATGTATCTGCAGTGATGTGTATTATAATGACAAATGAAGTAGTTCTCAAAAGATGCTGGGCTACTTATTGTCATTATTTAATATGTGAGTTTTATTAAAGATTTTTATTAAAACAGTTAGTACTAAAAAAAAAGCATATCGACTAAAATAGAATAGAAAGCAGGTCAAAGCTGACAGGGACCGCGTGTATTAAAAATGTATTTATATAGTTGATAATTGCAATTTTAATTAGAAAATATATAATTTTTTTTCCATTATGGCCTGAGAATTTTTACATACAGCCCTGACCTTTGCTCTATGTTCAGTTAAATAAAGGGTTTAAATGATTTGCACATCACTGCGTTCTATTTTGATTTACTTTTTTTTTTGTCCCAGCTTTTTGGAAATGAGGTTGTACATGGAGTGCAGTATGTAATAAGCCACATATGTAATATCTCCACCCAATTTTTCTGCCATCCTCTCATGTTTTGTGTGGCACTCCCTCAAATGCATATGTGTAATGGAAAGAAGTGAATTCTCATTTTTTCCATGCTCATGGGCCACAAATTTGCATATTTAGGCCCATGTTGGCAGAGTGCGTCCGATTTACACCTGAAACTGGCATAAAAGCTTAGTGCGTCTGACACAGACTGGGTAATTGAAAATACTGCCTAAATAAGAGATGTCACTGGTTGCGGTAAAAGAAACACAAATATACTGAATGTGTTAAAAAATAACCTCTTTTTTAACACATCTGTTTTAAGAATGCAGAAGCCACGCTGTCTGTGAATTAAATACATATGTATAGTTATTGTGATAAAATCCTTCTTTTTTCAAGTATTGGTTGTGATGTGTCTATATAAAAGGTATAAATCTCATTTAAGCTTTTCAGCCATTGCCTACTCAGCCAGCCTTCTTCTAATAATGCAGACCATTCTCTCTAGTTTCATTTTAGAAGATGGAGAGTCTTTTGGCCAAAGCCGGGACCGCAGCTTCCTCCTGGATGACACCACTGTGACACTCTCCCTTTGTCAGCTGAAAAATGTGAGTGTGTCTGTGTGTGGGTCGCTGTCCAATAATTTACGCTTGTTAAAGTGTGTGTACTGAAACATTACTAACACCCCTAACAGAGGCTGAAGGATGTGGCAGGGGAGGCTTACTACCCACTGCTGGAGGATGAGTAAGAGTCACTTTTTCTTTATTCTCCTGAGCATAATAATTGCCCAAATCTTCCCTTATTCTAACACTGAAGCATTTGACACCGGTGATGGCAGACTGGAACCCTTTTGTGTCCTGCAGGCAGAGCAGCTTGCCCCAGTCCAACAGCAATAACGAGCTGTCCGCTGCCGTCAGCCTGCCACTCATTATCCGAGAGAGAGACACTGAGTACCAGCTCACGCGCATTGTCCTCTTCGACAGGCTGCTCAAGGTGAACACACAAATACTCATACATAAAGGATGCACAGGACACCACAGAGGAACACACGCTGCCAGATAACTTTGGTTTTATTCACAGGGGGTTTGTCCTCATAAGTCTTTTCATTGTTTTAATTTACACTTCTATTTCCACACTTCCTGTTGAGCTTCAAAATGATATGAAAGCTGCTACACAAATAATAATTATAACTGTAATGAAAGTCTGTGCCACCTAAAATCTTTTAAGGTGGCCTAGACCTCTGTTATCTTAGCCTATATTTGTGAACAACACAAATATAGCCATTTTATATTTCTTATCCAAAACAACCAGTAAACCTACACTGACTTCTGAGTTTTTACATGTAATGTTGATAAAGGTAAAATAGTGGTAAATCTGAAAAAAAGGTTTTTCTAGGGGACTGTTTTGCCTTACAATGTCCTGAATGTACATTCCTGTCATGAAGGATACAAAAACTGCGTTTCAGGGCAAAACTCAGGCATCAGTCAGCTTTTTTTTCCCCTTGTAAATGTCTCCTAACCATTTCACATAATAGCTTTCTGTGAGGGAGCTTTAAGAGGCATTAAATGCTTTGGACATCTGGTTCCTTTCGCCACCACTGTGAACAATTCTGACTCAGTTTCTTCGGAAATGTCCACTTCACATCAAACCACTCTGAATGATTTTATGTTTTTTTTGAAATTTTGAAAAATTGGTGGAATTCCCCTTTGCATTATAAGGATAAATGTACAGGAAACTGTGTTAACCCTAATAAAAAGTTCTTATATGAATCCTTAGAATCTTGATTGCTTGTAATAGTGCTGACAGTGTTTTTTGGACATTTGTTTGTGGTGCACTGATCTTTTAAAGGAATCGAATTTCACCCAAAATGGTTTACAGAGACATAGACTTTCATTAATTTTTATCTGTTTTAACCTCAAAGATTAAGTGCAAAACTAAAGAACTTAGGACGGGAAATGTTTCTTGGCTGATAGATTTGAAGGAAGGGGAGACATTAATTTCTTCAGTCAACCATTTCTTTTTAACTGTCTGGTTGCACTGAATAGGATAATAGGGATGCTCTGTATCTTAATCTGTCATGATCATATGCTGTTGTTCAGGCATATCCATACAAAAAGAACCAGATTTGGAAGGAGGCCAGAGTGGACATTCCCCCACTGCTCCGAGGACTGGCCTGGGCTGCTTTACTGGGAGTTGAGGCGAGTTAAACATATGAATAAATAAAAAATAAAGTAAGGTGCAGCAGTAATGTTTGATAACAAACATCGCTGTCCAGTTTAAAACGTATTTTGCAGGCTGTATTAGTTTACTTGTGTTTTTAAAACTCCAGTGAGGACTTTTTGTAATCAGCAAAAACCGTTAACAAGTTGGTAATTCTGTATTTGTAAACGATTCTTCATCTTAACTGTCTTTCTGCCCTCAATGACCTCTCCGCTTCCTTGCCTCCTGGCAGCTCGTCTTTATCAGAGCGGTATTTATATAGTGTATTGATTGGTGCTTTGCTGGAAAAGCAGCGTTATACTCATCAGGGACTATCGACATGACCGTTTTCATTTTGCTAACCTCACACAATAAACCAGAGTTGAGTTTGTTGTTTCTTTTCCCCCGTAAGTATCTCAGCCCAGTTTACCATTTCAGCAATACTTGATTGGGCCTTAAAGGTTGAGAGCAGACTTAATTTTCTTTGGACTTGTTTTACAAATTTGCCAATTAAAAGCACCATTCAGTGTTTACAGTAGCCAATATCTTCTTTGGAGGCAATTTCTAGATCATTGATTTTTTTTTGCTTTCGGGTTATTTGTGTAACACATTACCCCAAAATACTGTATTAAAACTTTTGAGCCGTCACTTTGTTTTGCTTTGTTGCAATTTGGAGCCTCCACTACGGCAAATGGTTTCATTTATACTCTATTAGAGCACCTATCAGTGTTGATAATGACAATATGATGTGCTAATCCTAGGTGTGGAAATAACATCAGTGGCTCATATGTCATCATCAATATACTATTGATCTTTAACTGGCGAAGCTTATATGTTTAGTAACTGAAGCGGACAAGGGGTTAGACTGGAACTGAGCAATAAATGTAAAAGGTTGTGATGTTCAGGATGCTTATGTAAAGCTCATGCACAGTCAAATGCAGATGGAAATTAGCTGCTCGCAAACTCTGGTGCAAAGGATATTTTCTTTGCTGAGATTAATGTTTTCAGACTAATGTTTTCCATAAACGAATCTAAATTAATTTCAATCAACATGCGTTTTGGACCCAAATGAGTCCTTACTATACAGCTCATTTGTGCGAGTGTAATACTGCATTTCCATATTCAATGTGCATTTTCTATTGATTTATTTTATTTTCTGGCCTAGGCTTTACAGTTGCAGTGATTGCTTTCATTTTTCATGCTCTTGTAGGGGGACATTCAGGCAAAATATGACGGCATCGACAAGGACACCCCCATCCCTACGGACAGACAGGTATCACTTTGTTGTTGTTTTTGTTGTTGTCTTTAGTGGTCATTTGACTAATTGAAAGTTATCTCGAGGGCTTGTGTTATTCACTGGGCTGATTAATTATTTATACTTAGTGTGAACTTCCAGCTCTAACTCGGCTGGACAGTGAATATCTAATGCTTTGTGAAGACTAGAGTGTGCATTATTGTGAAACTGCTTTGCTGAGATTGAAAGGGATGTGAATATCATCTTTGCTTTATCTGATGATCACATAAAAGCACTCAAGTTTTCCACTTTTGTTCTTTTTCCCCCCTTCAGATCGAAGTGGACATACCCCGCTGTCACCAGTATGATGAACTGTTGTCCTCACCCCAGGGTCACATAAAATTCCGTAGGGTCCTGAAGGCCTGGGTGGTGTCTCATCCAGACCTTGTCTACTGGCAGGGTGAGAAACTAGTGCTGTTATTAAAGGTGCAGTTTCATTAGGGCACCACAAGGTGGCTCTCCAGCTTCACAGTGATTCTACTGTATGTTGGTGGATGTCTGCAGGATCTGCCAAGGCAAAGATTCTCATTAATGAATGAAGGGCCACAGACTAAAGCTTTTAACCCCTGAAGACTTAAGCCTGAAAATAAAAGCCTGGGCACTCTCTTTATATTGATTGGTGTCCTCTAATTCAACCCAAATTCAGCTTTTCAGTTATGCCTGAACATAATATTCAGTCTGAAAGATGAAAATAGGCCACAAAAACACATAAAAATGGAAAATATATTTATTTTTACACCCAAAAAGCATATTTAGAACAAAAAGGTTATTGACCACAGCACATATCTCAAATGGTTGTAAAGCAGTGACGACTATTAGTGCTAGGATTTCAGTTCAGGCCATGTATGTGGAAGTTCTGTCAAAAATGAGGAAAAAAGCACCACTACTGTAATGCAAATTTTGGCTAGCACCCCTATGGGATTCTAGTAATATGTAAGCACTAAGCTAAAGGCAATTCACATGAACATTTTTTGGCCATTATAGATTAAAGACAAACATTTCAAGCTTGTAACACACATATTAACATGTATTTTACCTTGCGTGAAACAGTTTTAGAGGTACCCCTGCAGTAAAGAGCCCTGAGACAGAGTAGATGCTGTGTTCCATTTCTAACAGCTGAGTAAAACCTGGTTAGACTACAGCTCATATTCACAGTCAGTGATGCATCTAGAACTTCCAGGAAGCCTAAAAGTTTCTTTCTCACAAAATTTGCCTCATCTTATGGAAGTCAAGACATGTTTGGTTGATTCCACTGTCAGTTCCTAATTATGCTGGTGGTTAAACTGACGTGTGAGGCCTTCAGACCAGTTCCTGAAGTTCTAGCCAATGAGAGCACTTGCTTGGCTGTATCGTCCTAGATAACACGGAGAAAAAAAATTATTAGATGCGTTTTTCATGGGGCGTTTCAAGAATTTAATGCTTTTGTTTGTAACCAAAACTTAAAAATAGTACTAGACCTGCAGTATTTAAACGCAACAAGCATGTTGATTATATCAAATAAAAATGAACTTAAGATTAGAGTATTTTTTTTTTCTGTAATCATGAGGCTTTCTACATACATACATACATCATCTAAACCGCTTATCCTTCTGGGTCGCGGTGGGGTGCTGGCGCCTATCCCAGCTGTCATTGGGTGGAAGGCAGGATACACCCTGGACAGGTCGCCAGTCCATCACAGGGCAGACAGACAGACATACACACTCACACCTAGGGGCAATTTAGCGTGTCCAATTAAGTTAACTGCATGTTTTTGGACTGTGGGAGGAAACCGGAATAACCGGAGGAAACCCACGCAGACACAGGGAGAAGATGCAAACTCCACACAGAAACGACCCTGGTCACCCGGCCAGGAATCGAACCCAGGCCATTCTCGCTGTGAGGCAACATCGCTACCCACTGCGCCACCGTGCTGCCCGGCTTTCTATGACTTTTTAATTGTAATTTAAGTTTAAAGGGTCAATGGCCTTTCTGTTCACTAAATTTAGAAAGATATAATATTTTCATGTTTGTCATCTTTTTAATTGTTTTTCTTCAGGTTTGGATTCACTGTGTGCCCCTTTTCTCTACCTGAATTTCAACAACGAAGGTTCGGATTTTATTTAGCTCTTCTAAAACGAGGCCATCCAAACAAACACTTCACTCTTCAGTATGTGACCTGATTTTAAAAGCATTTAAACGCTTCCTGTTAATCGCTGATGTTTGTGTCCCTGTGTACAGCACTCGCATACGCCTGCATGTCTGCCTTTATCCCCAAATACCTCTACAACTTCTTTCTGAAGGACAACTCGCATGTCATCCAAGGTGAGTTTTCGGTCTCAGCGCACTAAAATGCATTTCCCGCAATCCTCTGAAACTTCCGTAAAGTCTGCTAGCCTCAGGCCAGTTTTATGTTGGTTTGACGCATGCCAGTCAAAAGGTAAAAGATGTATACCATGGTTGGTGGTGTTGTGCTGTTGTATCTGGCTGCTGTTTCTTTAGAGACTCTTTTTGAAATTGTTATTTGTTATTTGTTTATGCCTGCTGACTTTGTAGCTACATGTTTACATCTGAACTTGCCTTTTCTTTAACAGTGGAAAGGAAATGTTGAGTTCACTGTAACAGTGCCAAATCTGTCTTTCTGACTTCCCTTTTCAGAGTACCTGACGGTCTTCTCTCAGATGATAGCCTTCCATGACCCCGAGCTAAGCAACCACCTGAATGAGATCGGCTTCATTCCAGACGTGAGTGATCTCTGCTTTGATGAATCTTTTAAAGCAGCTCCCTCTACTTCACCTGTGCAAGTGGGAGACAGCTTCAATTGGCATCAAGTGCTTTCTAAATACAAAAACAAGGCAAAAAAGTTTTCGTTAAATTCCAGAAAGCTATGAAAGGGTTCGTTTGTGATGCTTTTTGTTATGTTAGTCCTGCGTTTCATGAGCAGTTGCTCTGTAGTAAATGGAGAAGTGCTGTTAAATTTGTGGCTGTATTGCAAGTGCAGTATGGATTATAATGTATTAAACCACAATGGCTGTGTTTACATGCAAAGATTTTTGCCAATCCGATTGAATATAATCCGATTACAGATCCAGACTGAGGTGTTTATATGCACACTCTACTCAACAATTTGATGGAAAATCTTTGTTTATATGCGCACTACAAGTAATCGGATGCAAAATGACACGCATGCGTGGAGTAGCGCTTAGAGTAAACGTTACCATGACAGCGAACATCATGTGAGGTCCAGTCCACGTGAGATTAGTTTCCATTTGGCGCGTTTGAGTTTTTACTTGCTTTAAAATTATGTCAGACTCAGGAAAACGTCCTTCACGTGTCCTTATTAAAGAAGGCCGAGAGGAAGACGTCGTGTTCTGAGACACGTAAGCTGGATGTCCGTCCCACCGCCGTCTTTTAAAGATCAGAGCATAAACTTCGTCTCCTCTGCAGACCCGTTTCTGCTCCGCCACGCTGAACGGTATAAACTTTCGCCATGACGCGACGCACATGCGCAGAACATACTTACACGTTCCGATTGGAATGTCATCCGATTCAGGCGTTTACATGGCTATTATTCTTCTATTTAACGGATTATTTAGAGGTTTACCCACCTCGTTCAATCGGATAGAAATTGTATTCCGAATGGCCTCAATCGGACGAGACTATTCCGATTGAGGTGTTTACTTGGACGTATTCTATTCCGATTGAGCTATTAGTCGGATTATTAACGGATTATCAGGCTGCATGTAAACGTGGCTAATGTCAAACCCCTAATGTGGATGATTAAGAGGGCTGTCAACTTAACTGCAGATATTAAATATATCCTCAAACATTATCCTGAAGAATTGTGGCTTGATGATCGTTAACCAAAGTCAGATTTGGAAAAAAAACTTAAACAATATGTCTAAAGGAGTTAAAAGTCATCAAACTTTTCTGCCTGATCAGGGCTATATGGGTATTTCAGACCACATGGTGACCGACATAAACAATAGCATGGCAGCAGACTTTTATTTTCTGGCAGAAGTCAGAATTTTATTCTTTCTGAGATCATGGAGGTAAAGTTATAATCAACCAGGAGTAACTGCAGCAATCATCCAATGCTGTTAGCATTCGCTAATGTGTAGTGTTAGTATTTTGACTAGGTATTTTATTTTATTTTTTAATTATAAAATAAATGTGTCACATTGATTTTACCACGGTTTTGGGGTGTTGTTGTGCTAGCTAGCTTGCTCACTGGTAGTCAATCAGGCACAACAAGGTCGAAGCACACCAGAACCCTGTTCTGGGAGTAAAAGTTGGAACAGAGCAGCATTCTTAACTAAATTTTATAGCGAAATTGGGTATAGATGTTTTACAGTGTTTTAAAGTGTAAGCATGAAACAAAGTGTCCGCCACCTGTTCAGCAAATGGGAAGTTGTGCTGCAGCAAGGCCCGCCCACCTAGTCTCCATGATAGCGACTTTAAATGCACAGTGTGTTTGGGTTTTGAAACTCCACAACTGGTAATTAAAGTGGTAGTTTGCTTTCTGATTTCCTCAAACATTGGCATTAAGTTGGCATTAAGTTGGATATCTAGTCTACTCAATGTAATTTAAATTTTTGATGTTTCATGTCATCATTTATCAGTGAGCTCAGCTAAAAATGTCTATGATAAAACAGCATGTTAGCCAGTGTGACTCGAGTCGAAGATAATGACTGATACTGAGCTCGCTAGCATGGTAACATCAGCCATTTATTATGAGCTTGCTAGTTATCTAAATATAAAGTCACTTAAGGTAAAAGTAACTGGACACTGGAGGTTTTTGACTGTCAGGCTCACATAATGAGAGATATAGTTTAGTATATGTGTTGCAGTAGTGGTTGTGTTTGATGTTTTGTTGGCTCTTTGTTGTTTCTTTCCCTCTCCATAAAAATGTTATCATTTATATTTATGAAAAGTAATTAAATTGTTTTATGTGTGTGGATTAGGGCTTGATCAAGGCATTCAGCATTACAAGGTCTGTAATGGACTTGCCTAGGCTGGATAGAGACCTTGATTTATTTGCAACAGTCAGTCAAATGTACCGCTGTTGGCAACAGGCCAAATGTAAGTGATTTTGTTCTTTCAGCTTTAACAAAAAAGGTTAGAGAGGCCTAATGTGAGGTAATTATGTGAAGCTTCTAAGAAAAAACAATCAAGTGTTTAGCTTTTGAAACATTCCGGTATTTTTAAGTGCACTAGATAGCATAAAAATCTATAAATGAAAAGGTTATTTTTAAAATATATATCAGCATGAACATGCACCAGAACCTGGCAAAAACACTGGTCATTTCTACCCTTGTGCAGTTTAAAAAGCAAGAAAAGTATAAAGCATGAAAAAAACTAGGATGACAGCTCCTTTAAAGATCAGTCTTCGTTATTACTTTGACCATTCATGTTTGTTGGATCATGAGAATGGTTCACCCAAACACCCACAGAAACTCATCTGGAACTGTGATTGGTCAAAATGCTCATATCACACAGTAAAAAACATTCATTTGTGATAGGACATTGCATTGTATTAATATTGCAAAGGCTGGTATCATGGTAACGATTGATAAACAGTATATTGTGCAGCCCTTCTGTATATGAATTTAGCGTTTAGCTCCTTCACACAAGAGTGAAGTGGGAGTGTCTCTAATATAACACCTACCAACTAAACAAACAAACAAAAAAACACGCACATAGGCACACAGTCAGCTGCATCACCTATTTTCTATTCAATTTTTGGCGTATATGTTTTAACCTTATCTGACTTTATGAAAATTTTTAATGAAAAGCACAGATGCAAAAAGGCAATTATGTAAGAGTATTATATTATCTAACTACCCATTAAAACTATTTCACCTTTTGCAAACGCATGGGTTTTGTGAGCTCCTTCTGGTGTGAGTTAGTGGTGACTTGCAGGCTAATAGTGCCCCCTAGTGGAGAAACTCCAGCCTTCTACGCACACTGTAGATCAGTGAGTTCCAAAGCCATGTCTATTTGCTTTACATATTACAAAACACAGCGTTTTCTGTCATCACTCTGGGATTCAGCTTTCAATGTCTATTGGAAACCATATAGTATCATATTTTAATAATTTTACAATCAGGACACTTCAGCTGTACAGAACATGCTGAGAATTTATTTTAGAGAGTATGTCACATTCTAATAAATCAGCAGAGACAGTGGTAAATGTACTAATTCATACACTAATGGCTTATTAATTCCCTGTAATAATGCATTGTTTTAACAGTAAAAGGGAATAAAATAGTATGTGTAAGCATTTTATATTATCTAGCAATGATGTCGTATGTAAACGTTGCTAAAATCTTAAATTGTAACGTGAACCCCCCATATATGGAAACTAAGCTGCAAAAGCAGCTTGTTTTGAATTTGAACTGATTTTGTGATGTCACAAAAAACTGCTCATTTTCATATGTCCACTTATTCAAACCTCCTTATTTAAGTTCAGCCCTGCCCATTCACAGATAGGAGCATTTCAGCCCAGACTGCATTTTGAACAAGGCATTATACAGAACATGCAATCAGAACCATTAGAGTCCATTAACATGTATTAGTCTTAAAGGCGCAGTAACAAAAACAGCCTGTCTAGTTTCTAATGAATAAAGAGAGGTTGAAAATGTTGGACTATTTATGTTATATAAAACCACACAGATGTTTAAATTGAACTTAAAAAATAAAATACATGAAAAATTGTAAAATATGGACCCTAAAAGTGGTCTTCTCTAGTTTTCTATCAGTTTTCGTTTCTCAAACACACAGTCTTTGAAGCGTCCGATATCCGATTACATCGCCGGGGTCTAGTTCTCACATCCAGCTGACCCTGAGATTTCAGCATCCACTAAGTTTTCCCTTAGCAAACATGAGTATGCACACACCCACACACACTCACTAGCTGGTAATTCATTTCAAATGTAATGAAGACTGGGCTTATCTCATTCCGGGACTCCCCCATGACCTCTCTGTCTGTCTGCTTCTTTCTTTTTGTCTCTCCTACGCTTTCTCCCTCCTCCTTTTTACCTCTTTTGCTCATTCTGTTCTTCTGTCTTCCTCCGAGCCCTTCCAAGGTTAAAGCTTCTGAGACTTTAGCAGTGCAGCCAATCCTACACTGATTGATGTGTGACCTCCACACACTGACCTCCAGGGGACAGTAGGCTTCGCATCCCCACTAGTCCCCAAAACCCTCATTGGTGTGAAAGTGGCAAAGATCCGTGACCTTCTGGCTTCATCCAGGCTCTATCAAATCCAAGGAGCCAGTGAAAGGCCTATTAAACGATGAAGGGTGGGAATTAACAATGAGTCATTGCGTGAAGAGAGACATTGAGCTGATGTTCTTTTCGGTCCCTGAACAGCTGTCATTGTCCTCAACACAATGCGAATACAAAGCCAGACTGTACTGTATGAGTGTGTGTGGTGTGCTGCTGAGCTTGGCTCCATTGGCGTTGGGTTCTTTTAGTACGCTTGCCATGAATCTCAATGAATTGCACAAAAATTTCAATTGATTTTTTCTCTCACTTTAAGACCACATAACCTTGGAGACTTTAGTGCCATTCCTCGTCCTAGACACAATGCTTGGTTTTCAGAATGAAAGGCTTGGAGCTTTATTTTCATAGTCTGGGCTGAATAATATTTGATCTAGTCATGTTCAGTCGTTGTTCCATCGAATCGTTTATAAAACATGAATACATTCTGCAAGTTCAGTGTTGTTTCACAAAGCATTGGGTTTTTTTTTTGGCTGTGTAAATGCTAATATTCCCTGGGAGATGAACTGCTTTTATGTGGTCATATTAACTTTGGCCCTCACATCAAGATGTGATGGCCATTGTTTACAAAGGTTTTGTTTTTGTGTGTTTTAGAGCTACAAAATGAACTTCCAGAGAATATATTGCAACAGGCTGAGGCTTTGGGAACGTTTTAGAAACATTTCATGAGATCATGAATTTTAATGTGTCTTCATGCCTTCAGGGCCTCTTTGTTTTCAGTCCCTGCTGGTCTGAGAATACTGTAGTTGTTGACCTCAGTAGTAGAGGCAGGAATCATTGAGGAGACCCCGCAATGAAATCATAATATAAACTGCAATCCCAAAGCATTCGTATGTGAAATGCTAAGAAAAACTGAAAGCAGTAGTTTGGTAAATTCTATTTGGCTTGTATTTAAACTGAAAACTTTGACGTTTGAACTTAGGAACTTTTTTTAAAATGGAATATTTTGCCATTCCTCCATTATACAAGTCTTCAACTGTGCAGCCGTACACAATTGTTGTATTTTGCACTTCATGATGTGCCACGTTTTCAATAAGAGACATGTCTGGACTGCAGGCAGGATGGTCCTTTTCTTCCTTGGCATGGAGGATGCAAGATCCATTATTTCCATAAACAATCCGAAAGGCGGACTCATCAGACCACAATACACATTTCCACATTTCCATCAGTCTATTTCAGATTAGCCTGAGCCCAGAGAAGTCGTCAGTGTTTCTAGATGTGTTGACGTGTCCTCTGCTGTGCATAATACAGTCTTAAGTTGCATTTGTGCAGTGATGAACGCTGTTCAGTCACAACAGCTTGTTGCAGTACTCACAAGCCCATGTGGTGTTATCCATCACAGATGCATGTCTGCTTTTCAATGCAGTGACGTCTGAAGGATCAAAGGTCGCAAATATTTGTATTATTGTATTTGTATTTCTGTAGAAACATATTGCCAATAAAGTGTAATGCTCTGGAGCAGCCGCACATGAGCCTAAGGTCACGATGCCCAGTACCAAGTATCAGCTAGAGGGGCATAAAGCCACCCAGCAGTACTCTTGAATACAGTCAAATCCTCATAGCAATGTTCTAACAAACGTTAACAATTTAAGCAATAGAACAAGAGAGGCAGCGTGTTATCACAAAATAATATCATGGCTGTGATTCGGCCACAGCCGTTAATCGTCATAGATGTGGTGTTATTCAGGATAATGTACAACCTTGAGTGTTCTGTTGTTTTTATACAACTGCTCTGCAAAATAAACAAAAAGGGAAAGAAAAGAAAACCATCAAACTAATGTGCTTTAATTTTGGCAAATTCTTACGTAGTGCGTCAAAGCAGGTTTTATATTGGATGTTTACTGGATACTTGACTTTCCGCCTTTGATTTCTAATGAAATAAACATCCAAAAAATGATCAGATCTGTATTTTCTAACTCCTGAAAGACAAGAACGAAAGAGAACGAACTTCAACTAAATGTATTTCAAAAACGCCCATCAAAGCATAATGTTTTGGAAACGCAGATCACTGACGCTTTGTCATTAAGGGAATGTCTAAAAAGTGCATATTTCTCATGTATTAAGGCAAAATAAAGCAAATTCACATCAAATCAGTACTACAATTTCCTAGTTAAATGAAGCTGCTTTCTTTACTACAAGTGATGTGATTTTGCCCTTTTACCTAAATACACGAGGGACTAAAGCGTCACTGATCTGCATTTCAGAACCATTAGGTTTAGCAAAATTTAACGATGGACATTTTTAACGATGAACAATTGATTGTAGCTTGTTCTCTGCCTTTCATGAGTGAAAGTGTAATTTTGAGGAGAGAAAGCTGACTGTCCTACTAATGTCATTGTTTGTGATTGAATGTGGTAAAATAGAAACTGATTCAATTGTTGTGAAAAAACTGCTATTGGGAATAACAGTACACCTAGAGCACTTCTCAACCAATCAGGTTTTGCTGTCAGAACTAACTGTTGTATATTAAAATAGTAAGTGACTGGTGTTACATATACAAGCATATAAATCCTGTAAATCTCTTCAAACATCTCAACGCTATGTTGTATTTTTCTTCCATCTCAGCTCAAAGTTATGTTGGCACTCAGCACTATCGTGGTATCAGTGTGGCACTTGGAGTGCATTTTCTGATTGGAGTCTACCATCATCTTAATTTAGAGCTGGCGATCGCAGGCTAGTCCTATCAGGGTGAGCCTTACCCATGAAGCTGCGGGATGTGGAGAAAGGGAGCTGGGCTGTGCTTAGCTAAGCTGGCCAAACTAAAAAGCTGCAGCCTCATGCTCTCTCATTACTCCCAGCCCCTCCGAGCCTAGCCAAGAGGAAACGGCCAGCTTCCCCAACCACCAATTAACTAGTGGGACTGATTCCATCTCTGCCCCTCCCTCCCTGCTGAAACAAGCTGTTGTTAGGAAGGATGCTGGAGAAAAGGGTTGCCCTCCTGTGTTAAAAAGAGTATTTTAATATCTTTTATTTATACCCGGTAGGGCCACTCAGCAGTATTCACTCCTTTCTCACCCTGTTGTGCTGGCTGTAGGACTAGGGCACAGCAGGGCAGCTGTTTTGCCTGGAAAAGCACAGGATTAAAGTGCTTCTATATGCTGTATTTTATTTTTTTTCCTGAAGTTTATATATAACATTTTGTGTGGTTTTATGTAACTGCTATAGTTCAGGTATTGTAACAGTGCCTTTACTGGTATATGTAAATGACCTCTGTTGTAGTTGGCTGAGCCCCTTACAAGTGAAATGTATGGAACAAATTGTTCAGTTTGGATTCAAATTCTGGAAAAAGTGAATTCATCTAAGTCTGCGCTGTCACACATATGCTTCCCAGCAGCCAGGAACAGTACAACGTTTAATCATGTTTCCTCAAATCCTCCCCTCTAATAACTCAGACTGTCTGCAGTAACAACACCCCTTATCATATTAACGTGCAGGTGAGCCAAACTTCTGTAGGAGGAATGATGGTCATACATAAACATGTATTGCACAACTATGATGAATTCAGAACAGGTGGCGTTTGCAGCTAAGTTTACAAATAAGGACTGAATGAACATTCTGAGACCTGAGCAGTGTTTACATAGTACAGGAAACTAACTTAAAAAAAAACAAAAAAAACAGGGAAGTTTAAATTTTCTATGATAGGAGCCCATTATTTATGTTGCACAAGGAGACTATGCCAGTGGGTAGTAGAAAACTCTTGAAATTATGGCCTCTCATTTCTAGGTTAATATCTGTAGTACCCAGCCTGGTTTCTGGTCCCCAGCTATGGAGCCTTAATTGACTGCCACTCTGACTAATGAACCCCTTAGAAAGTGCTTTTTCCAAACTGTACATTCAATTTGCATATACAATTTGTTTCTGTTTGCATGAGTTTGCGTGTTTTTTTCACATCTTGTAAAGTTATATAGAAAAGGAAAGCATTTCCACATTTAATCAAATTCTTCATTTCTCTCCACAGCTTTATGCCATCCCATGGTTCTTAACAATGTTCACTCGTAAGTACAGCCACTTACTCATACACTATATGGCCAAAAGAATGAGCTTGCATGATGTTTATAAAAAGCACTGACAGTAAGAGCTCTGGAGCAGCTATGCCAAGCCTAGGGTCACCATGACCAGTGTCAAGCATCAGGTAAAGAGGTATAAAGCTCTGAATCATCGGGCTGTGGAGCAGTAGAACTGGGTTCGGTGGAGTGGTGGCATTTGTGATCCAAAACTAATCGCATAAAATCAGTACTTACTTGAGCTCACTAATGCTCTTGTGGTTAAATACAATAAAATTCTCACAACAGTGTTCTGACATCCATTATAAAGCCTTCCCAGAATAGTTGAGGCTGTTACTGCAGCAAAGTGGAAACAAAGTCCCTATTAATACCCTTGACTTCAGAAGAAACGTTGGTGAAGTGATGAGTTGCGGCCTCTTTTCACATCAGAATGAAAGTCAGGCAAAATGAAATCTCTCTTGAAAAACCTTGATTTGAACTGTTGAAATTAAGGCATAAATCTATACTTTTTTAGATAAAAAAGTATATATCTTCAACAAGCAGTTACCCAGTTAAACTAGTGTTGTTGCAAGAAAACCCCATTTAAATGTTTGATAGTTATGATTTGTGCTATAATGCTAGTGTCAAAAATAAACCTATGAAATCATTTTGTTCATTAAAACAAATACTAGAAACCCCACAAGTCTGCTCTGCCTCCTAAAATAATCAAAACATTGTGCTGTTGCCTAAAACTATAGAACTGTTGTACCCTCCATCCCCTCCTCCTCCCACTCATTTGATGAGGTGTGAAATGTTATTTGATATCTTTGATGAAAAGAGGATAACTAGGTTCATATCTTGTCTCTGCATGTTGCAAATTGCGTCCACGGTAATAAGACATCTTGTACTCTTTTTCTATGAAGTGTTTCTCAGAATGTGCATTTCCAAAACAATCCTCACTAATGGGCCATAATGACCAATTGTTTCATCAGGCGTAGTTTCCATTATGCTGAAAATTGTTAAATAGCAATTTGCAACATGATCATGTAGGGAAAAAAAAAATCTATTTCAGGCCCTTGTATTGATTTTGAAATGTCTCATTCAGTGAGAAAAATGTCGTCTAATCTCTTTCGATTTGGTTCTGTGACCAGCCTCTATTCCACGTCTGGGTGAAATTGTGGAATAACACCCTCGTTGCATTGCGGTTCGTGAGGAGAATGAGAAGAGTGCCAGCTTATTACTCGCCTTTCTGGGGCTGATGGTGTGAAACGTGGCCCTGTGACCCCCACTTTCGACTGTGTGGGGCCGAAAACCCCCCAGAGACTCTCCTGACTGATCCTTGCTCTGCAGTCCAGTGAAACAGCACTCAGCCACCTTATAGACTTCAGCTTTCCCTTTCCATTTAGAAACCCATGGCTTTTCAGCTACTACTCATTTTAGCTTAGAAGTCAGACTCACACAAACATCTCCCACTGTTTTGTTTTCCCGTCTCGTACCAGGTCTTCAGATGGCCTAGAGCTCTTGTTGTTAACTAGATTGTGGTATGAGATATAATAGCAGACCATTGCTTTACATCTTAATCAAATTAAAGAGATAATTCAGCAAAAATACAAATTTGCACAAATGTTCCCTTACCCCAAAAATAAGCAGTGAGCCAAGATGTTATTTACTGTAACACTGGAGCTACAAGGATATTGTAGCTGATAAATACAATGTAGATAATTTCCATTTTTATTATAGTTAACAATGCCATGCAGTGTCAGAAACCAATTAACCAAGTCCATTTGAGATCACTTACCAACTCCACCTGGATTGAGGCAAGTGTGTGACTTAGGTGTGCAGTTTGCACAGTGCTAATTGGTGGGACATATGCTTCCATTACTTGTTTGCTACTTTAGCCTCCAGTTCAAAACTGAAAAAGCTTTGTAAAAAAGGTTCATATTATAAATGCGCTGTGGTTGCACTCAAACGCATCAACGCCATCCCTTTCTTTAATGTTGTTGTTTTGGCGGTAACTGTGTTTATGTAACACATTATATTAATTTGCAGCCACTTGACACATTTGAATCATGTAAATTTGAAGCACAGTTGAACATGAAACATGTCTTGGTTGAGCAACCGCATTTAATGTAAGGGAAACATTTGATTTTTTGGTGACGTGTCATTTTAAAGGGCCCATATCCTGCATTTTTCCAGGTATTTTTTTCCTGAGGTCCACTTACAATATTAATGTATGTTCATGCACCAAAAGCACAATGCATTTCATTTCAACATGTCAATTTTGAACCTCTCTCTCTCCAACCCCTCTTTATCCCATAGAATTAAACAAGCTGTTTTGTTACTGTGCCTTTTAGGCTGAAATGTGTAATTGGTTGGCTGTCTTCTATTGTGTCTTATTCAAAAAGCAGGTTAGGCTAAAACATCCATGTAACTTCCATATGACTGGGCAGGGCTAAACTGCTGTAGGCTAGGTAGGTGGATATATGAAGCGTTGGTTTTTGTGACATTACAAAAGCTATGATTCAAAATGCCTGTTTTTGCAGTTTAATTTCCATATATGGAACTGGACATCTTGAAACTTTACCAGTGTTTTCACACACACACACACACACACACACACACACACACTTTCTAAACTGCTTATCCTTCTGGGTTGCGGGGGGAGCTGGAGCATGTCCCAGAAGTCATTTGGCAGAAGGCAGGAAACACCCTGGACAGGTTGCCGGTCCATCGCAGGGCAGACAGACAGACAGACAGATACATTCACACACACACACACACACACACACACACACACACCTAGGGGCAGTTCAGCATGTCCAATTGGCCTGACCACATGTCTTTGGACTGTGGGAGGAAGCTGAAGGACCCACACAGACTCGGGGAGAACATGCAAACTTCACACAGAAAGGACCTTGGTTGCCCAGCTAGGGAACCAATCCCAGGCCCTTGATTTGAGGCGACAGAGCTACCCACTGCACCACCGTGCCACCCAGTGTCATATAACATTAAATTCTTATGTGTAAAAAAAAAAATGGAAAATTAGGTTTTTCCACAATATGAGACCTTTAAATCAGTGGTATGTAGGTCTGAGATTGCCTGCTTAGCTCCCACTTGAGTAAAGTGAGAGCCAAATTTCTGATTTGTCTGTTTTCTCAACAGATGTGTTTCCCCTCCATAAGATCTTCCACCTGTGGGACACTCTGCTGTTGGGGAACTCCTCTTTCCCGTTCTGTATTGGAGTGGCTATTCTGCAGCAGCTGCGTGACAGGCTTCTGGCCAACGGCTTCAATGAATGCATCCTGCTCTTCTCTGATCTGCCAGGTAAAGTGTTCTATACAGCTCCTATATTTCACTGAATGACACCTAATAAAAATGCTCAGTTGACTTTCTGTCTCTATTGATGATGCAATAGCTCTCCACCAGTGAGTGAATGTTCTGACAGAGGTGTGACAGACTGCTTCCCAGCTAAGGGATATATGAGTCCTTTGCTGATGGTAATGTTTTACTGGGAGTGTAAATCTCTGACCTCACAACGATTTAGTTAAATACAGTCCTTTAGAAAACCATTCAGTGCATCATGAAATCTCAGATTTCACTCTGATTCAGTGCAGTTGTACAATAGAGAATTATAACAATTTTTTTGGAATACATTAACGTAAAAGGAGGAGCTATTTACACAGTAGAAGCATATAGTCACTAAATAATACACCATTTAAAAAAAAATTAAAATATCACGAATTTTATTTTGGCCTAAAATGAGCATGTACCATTCTAACATGAACATAACATTGATAATACCTTCAGTTTGATGTTTATCAGTACATCTTTGAACTCCTTGTTGATTTGATCATTAGGTTGTAAACAAAATCATTCAGAGTGGTTTAATGTAAAAATGCTATGTTCTAGCGAAACTTACTGAGTCAGAGTACCAAGTCAGAATTGTTTACAATGGTGGTGGTAGGAACCAGACATCTGAAGAGTTTAAAGTCTCTTAAAAGCTCACAGAAAGTTACTAATTCAAATGATTATGAATATGTTTATGATAGTTTTAAAATAAGCTTTTGACTTTTTTTTCTCAAATCCATTCATGGTTGCGAGGTGCATGCAGGGCAGCGTAAGGCAAATTAGCCCCCCAAAGAAAACTTACTTTTTAAGATTTACCACTATTTTGCCATTATCAGCATTACATATAAAAACTCAGAAAACAATAGGTCCGTTGGTCATTTGGGATGGTAAATAAAATGGCTATATTTGTGTTGTAGACATAGTGATCCCTGGTTCCTATCACCACCATTATAAAGACATGAGTTAGTAGGTTTTTCTACAATGAACCATTTCACATTAAACCATTCAGAATGTCTTGGTTTGCATCGCAGCAACTGAATTATGTGAACATTTTGAAAAATTTGTGGAAATCCCCTCTAATTCCTGCAAAGAGTCCACAAGAGCATAACTGGCCGCGCTCTCTCGGGGTGGGTAGGTTGGTCTCCTGCTGCAGCACCCCTGCTTCCCGCCTTCCTGCAGACGCCTCTTAGCTTATGTAAAAGAATTGAGAGTTAGTGTTGAACTGTCCTTTGACATTACATCAGCAACAGTTCGAAAAGATGCAGTGGTGCTTCACATGACATAGAGGAAGCTTAGTTAGCCTTCACCCTCCCAGCTTTGTAGCATTGTGTGAAAGGGGGAGATGCAGCTAGCAGGTGGAATTAGCCACAACTAAATTGGGGAAAAAATGTGTACCAAAAAAATAAAATTCTTCCTTTGACGCTTATGTAGTTTGACCAGTGACATAGCCAGGAATTAATTTCAGGGATGAGGACCTGGATGTTAAATGAATTCACAGTGTGATGCTTAAATTGGGTGAATGCCAGAGAGTTGTAGCAGTTGTGAAATTCAGAATTTGTCATTTAATTATTTAAGGCACAATCTCTTGCCATATTATTAATATTGAAAGGCTTAGGGAATAAAATTCCTTCATGACAGTTGTACTAAAAATGATTCAAGTAACATTCTAATAATACGAGAAAAAGGATGTATTACCTTATAAAACCAGAATGACCCTTTTTTCCCTTCCTGCAGTAGACAGGCCTGGATCATTTAATGGGTTTTATGGGTTTTATGGGTTTTCTTTGTACAGCAAGAGACAGCAGAGACAGCAGAGTGTTTGTAAGTGGGTGCTGTGTCAGTGATGAGTGCATAGGGGCTATTAGGAGAAAACCTAAATAGCTGTTTTGACTCACGGTAGGAACTTTACTAGAAGGACATGGAAAAAATGATGTCAAATTTAGCATTATGTTACGGCCAATCATAGTCCTGACACTGTCCATGTCTTGTTGAACGTCCGCTTCTTTTTCTCCTCTACTTATTGCTTACAAACTGTTCAGCTATGTACTGTTACCTCAGTCAAGCTTTCAGTTGTTTTAGCAGTTAGTTAGCGTTTCTTTGAATGTACTTTGAATTTGAAGCTCCACATATTCAGTATGTGAGGGATTTTTAAAAGCATGACCTGATACTTCGACAGAGTAGAGGATGCCCATTTCCAAAGCCACATATAAATGTCAGCCACCAGAGTTAAAGAAAAAAGCTGTGTCTCCCTTTTCAGTAGTGATCTGCGAATTGTCTATGCATAAAATCATCAGCGGCAAATCCCACCATGGTAGTATGCTTTAGTTTAGGATTTTTGACAGTGTGGGTTTTTAAGTTTGCTGCTTTTTCTCATTATTATGCACATTTCATCTAATTTTAATTTCACGTCTTCTCAAGGTAAACGTTTTGCTTGTGAAGATTGGACATGCTTTATACGGAAGTGTTGCATTGTTTGTGCTCTCTAATTTGTAAATAATCTTATTATTGTTTTGTCACGTGCCCAACTCTGTGGTTGGTATGCTGCCGTCTTGGTGCTGCACAGCCCATTTAGAAACCTGCTGCAATATCATAAAAAATTCCCTGAGCACCAAAAAAAAGACCACCAAACATTTGTGCCCAGGGGCCGCTGACATGATGATCCAGGCCTGGCAGTAGACCTCTAATATTTCGTCAGCTGTCAACTTGATGTCCCTGCACTCAGAGAGCGTGGTCAGTTTGTTAAGTCTGTGTTCATTGATGGTCTACGCAATTTTTTCAAGACTTTAGTTTTTCCATGTCTTGAAAAATGTCCCTCTTTATGAGCGGTTGACCATTTATTAACATCATTGTAGCACAGTTTCTTCACCAAAAATTGTTATTGGCATATGTATAATCAGCTGCGATGTATGTGTGTTATCTTCAGCACCCACAAATAAACATTTGGACCACCCCAAGCATCATCACTGCATTTGGCAATTAATCCACTACATCCATTAATTTAGATATGGTTTGGGCCAGTTGTACTGTGATATAATACAGAGTAGATACATATTCAGAAAACATTATTCTCTATAAGCTTCACATGAGATAGGAAATCACCTTTGGCCAACATTAAACGTGTGATTAAAACAGAAACAGACACACGGGGATGGATATGACACACACAGACATTGTTATGATCAAGTACTGTGGTAGCTTGTGCAGTGGTAGAGTGTAAACTGGCCATCATTGCTTGTCCATAATAGCTTTTGCCAAGGGAGTGAAGGATTTTTTGTGTGAAGGCATTTTTCTTCATGAGAGGCCTCTTAGCTGGCGTGTGGATGGAAACAGTGCTTTGAGTTGTGATGGGGATGTAATTCAGAGTGAAAAAGGGCGGCTATCCTGCTGACTGAGTGCATGCAGTGTTCTGATAGCTCTGGCTGGGTGGTGCTGGTTATTGTACTGATTAGAGATCCCTGCTACATTTATTTAGTTTTGGCATTGGAAGAGTTCTACCTGGATATAAAGGCTGTATTGACAGGGGGCTTATATACTGTTGTTAGATTGACCATTATAAATATCCTTTAAAAGCAATAATAAGAGTAATATCTATTTGTGTAACACCTTACACTAGAGGTGGTCAATATGATATTTATTGTTATTGTAATAAATTACGTCACAGTGTGCTTTTCTGAGTATGTCATGGATATTGTCAGTACTTAGCAAACACAGTTTCATTAGAAAGAGAGCATAATTAGTCCTGGTTATATGGATTTAGTGCAGCACAGTATGTGAAATGTCAAAGAAAAAGCACTGTATTCGTAGTTTTTGATCATATTTTTTAAAGTGGCTTCTGGTTCTTTTTGTGTGTTCCAATTTAGCAAACCTCAGAAATTATGTATTGTGACAAATTTTAAAAAATGTGTAGAAGTTTCATGATTATATTTTTGCCATATCTCATACCCCTGACATACAAAGTCTGAGCACGCTTGGTCAAATTGCATGTTTTGTTGATTTTCTAAGTGAAAATAAGTTCCACACATAATTTACAGAGAACACAGTTTTGCACATTTTTAATGATCAATTTAACATCTTGGGGAAAAAAACATAAACATAAAATGTGGCCTGTGCAAAAGTTATAGCACGTTATATAAGTATGTTAAATTTTTTTCAAAATGTTAAATTCAGCAAAATAAATAGAAATTGTGAACTACAATTTTAAATAAAGTTTGTGGAGGATGTGTTAACTTATTTTTACTTAGAAAGTCAACAAAACAATTTGACCACAGGAAATGCAGCTTAAGGTGATTCACAAACGGTGTACAAATGAAACAATCATAATGAAAGACTGTGGTTCAACATATTGATATTTATACATCGTGATGCATTTTATTATGTATACATTCATTAGTAATGATTAATTCATTATTTATTATTATTAAAAATTCATTGAATGTTTAAATGACTTTTGAGTAACTATTTACTAATTGGAATATAGTCAGTGAAAACATCATATTGAGCCTCTCTTCATTTCCCTGTTTGAAAATAGCCTGAGAACATTAATTTGACCAAGAAATTAGCACATCATTCTTGTTGTTATTATTATTATTGTTGTTGTAGTTGTCGTTGTTGATTATAAACTCCTGTGACATTTCAAAATTAATGCTCACCTTCATGTTGATGGATTCATATGCACTGATGCATTTTACACCCCTGATATGAACAACAAAAACGGAAAAAAGGGTAAACTAATTTAAAGCTGAGGTTTTGTGCTGTTTTTCTTTTTTAAACTGTCAGCAGAGGGTACCTGATGAATCGGAGCAGGGAAAGTACTTCTAATCTTTGTAGCATCAAAACTAAAAGCTGCTTCACTTTTTATATTTCACTCTAGGAATATCCAACAAGCCAGCATTTGATGACCTTAAGACCTTAGCACGTCGTCAAACTTTAAAGCAGTACAAAGTCTCGGCGTTGTCAGTAATGTGTCCAGCTTTGAC